TATATATATATATATATATATATATATATATATATATATATAACCTGAATCACTTCCACAAGTTCATTCTGCCTTTCCCTGTGACGTCCAGGTGACCATTGCCTGCGATGCAGTGCTCAATGCACCGTCAGCTTACAAGAAGCAGGAGCTTGAATCCTGGGAGGAGGAGATCCAGGTGTCCAAACATGCCAGAAGTCTCAGACAGCTGGATAATGGGGTCAGGATCCCACCCAGGTAGGAAGGCACCAAGCCACACTGATACACCAATGTGTCATTCATAAAGTGGGCCTCACATTTCTGGGTTGACAGCAATGGTTTCATTTGCGCAACCTTCGTTATCTCCTGCATTTTGCCTCGTCTATCCAGTCTGTTAACAGTCAAATGTAAATCTGATCACTTCTTCACCTCCTTGTGAGCAGAATGCAGTCATTCAGTGAGTCTTTGCATGACTGCAGGATATAAAAAATAAACGCAACAAGAGTCGCTGTTTCTTTGCCATCAGGGGCTGGAAGTGTCAGAAGTGCGAGATGAGAGAGAACCTGTGGCTGAACCTGACAGATGGAGCAGTGCTCTGTGGGAAGTGGTTCTTTGATGGGAGCGGAGGCAACGGCCACGCACTGGAGCACTACAAAGAGACCAAATACCCCCTGGCTGTCAAAATGCACACCATCACCCCAGACGGAGCAGGTCTGAGACACTTTATTATCTCAACTGCAGAATTATTACATGGAGTTAGTCAGTCAGTCACTCAGTCGGTGTCCTTTAAATTGTTCTAGTTTTACTAACGCAAAGGAAGTTCTGGTAAAGTTTCTTATAATGTTTGTAACACTTTTAGGAAACAAAACAATAAAGTAATTATTATTGTATACTACTGTGTTTAAATGGTATAATTTGAAGATGATATACACTGATTTACCAGGTACACTTGTACAATGTAATGCAATCAAAGGCAACAGCCCTGCAACAAAATCTGTTATTGAAGCAAATTATTTTCAGTGTCAGAGATTAATACATTTGTTAGATTTCGGAGCAGGGTATGGTGGACTCGCCCTCCTGAAATCTGGAATTTGAAATGAACATGTTAATTAACATGTTAAGCTTGTATGAAGTCTGATCAAAAAAGCGAGCCCATCATAGTGATTGATCTGAACCTTTGCTCTTAGATGTCTACTCATTTGAGGAGGAGGAAGCCGTGTTGGACCCTCACATATCAGATCACTTGTCACACTTTGGAATTGACATGCTACAGATGCAGAAAAAAGTAAGTTGTCTAAGCTGTGAACAAACGAAACAAAAAAACCAAATGTGAGGCTTCCCCGGTGAAGCTTTCACTCTTTCTCTCTCTCTCTCCCTGCAGACAGAGAACGGTCACCACACAGACAATAACTCCCGGCCGCGGGTCAGTGAATGGGAGGTGATCCAGGAGTCGGGCATGAAGCTGAAAGCGGTGTTTGGTTCTGGTTACACAGGCATCAAAAACCTGGGCAACAGCTGCTACCTCGGCACAGTGATTCAGGTCCTATTCAGCATCCCAGACTTCCAGAGGATGTGAGTACAGGGGTTTACGGGAAAACACGTCATTTATTTTGCACAGTATGTTATCATCTATATTAACAGGCAACTGTTGCTCCGGAGGTAGAGCGGGTCATCCACTAATCGATTCTCCATTTGTAACCAAATGGTAGATGGATAAAATGACTACAATTTCTTACAAAGTATATGAACCATTGACAAAAGGCATCAAGAAAGAGAAACTGCAGTCACAGCTTGTACGTGAAGGACCTGATATGTCCCACCTTTGTAGTAGTTTTTGCAATGCTGGCTTGCATGTAATCATTGAGTCTATAATGTTTTTGTTTGTTGATTGTCTTGTTCTGGATCAGGTATGATGGTAAATGCAGAGTTATTCAGAGTAATGCTTGGTCTTAGTGTCGTCTCAGCACCACTTTGTGTGTTTGGAATCGTCTCGTGTCTGTGCTCCGTCCGAGGTGAGCGTGTGACATGTGTTTTGATCTTTAGGTATGTGGGTAACCTTCAGAAGATATTTGACTATTCTCCCCTTGACCCCAGCCTGGACTTCGCCACTCAAATGTAAGTGATTTCAGTGTTGCATAATGCAGTGTTAGAATACACAAAACAGGTGAAGGTGTTTTCCAACTCAGGCTGTCTCTGTGGTTGAAAAAAGTCTGAGGTTTTAAAATCTAATTTGTATCTTTGTTCTTAAAATGCTTGAAATGACTCAGGCAGTTTTATAAGAGGGACAAGTCTTGTCTCGGAATAAATAATACATATTTTGTCAGGTGAAAGCCTTTTTCCCCCACATGTGCTGGTAAACACGTGTCATGTAAGCCAGTGTGTTGCAAGAGGTCAGTCAGATGCTGTGGTCAGAATGAAAGGTAAGTAGAGTCTTAGCCAGACAGGGGATAGATATCAAGATATATGTGAAGCAACAAATGTGTTGAACAAATGTTCTGAGGCGCATTGCCAGATAAACATGTTTATACCCGTCTCTGTTCGTATTCGATAGCCTGTCAGCACAAATCGGGTAATTCAGAAAGAAAATCTGTCATTCCTATGCGTCAGGCCCGGATTGCTTAAATATGACCCATCTCTTAAAAGCACTGAAGGCAGAGTGTTAAATGAATCTTCATGGGCTGGTGGGAATATCCTCTATAAGATGAATATATTACTCTGTATCCTGTATAAGATGAATATATTACTCTGTATCCTGTACCAAATACAGATGATACAACTGTGCATAAACAAGAAAGTACAGAAAGAGATTCAGAAAATTCTTTCCAGATTTAGACTTAAAAACTACATTGATGTCTCAGCCGGCACTAGCAATCAATTCTTGCTATAATTGTGAAATAGATGTTTTTTTCACAATGGTCTGATCATTATTTGGAAAACAATAATTGTTTTAATTGATGCCTTTTCTTACTGTTTTAGATTAGTCTTATATATTTTTTTGTTTAATACATCTTGGGGCATGCTGTGCATAAAGGGCCTATCTCAGTTAAGCTTTCTAGATACTGTTTATTAAGAGCGATATCTTAAATCAATATGATGCAAGGCATGTACATTCATTATATTTAATGTAAAACATATATATATAGACTCCTGTGTGTGTGTGTGTGTGTGTGTGTGTGTGTGTGTATTCGTTGTTTCAGCTTTGGGAGGATATTACAGATGAAATCAAGTCAATGCTCAGATACACTGCTTGAGATATTTTGCCTATTTCACTTTCATAGTTTTTAATATTTGTAAAACAAGAGTTACATTCATCTTAATATAAGCTTATGACGAAAGTGAAACTGACTGTATGTAAATAGGCTGAGTAAATGACCCCCCACAGTTGATGTACGGTGAATTGTAAATACTTTTTCTACATAGACTGAAGTAGAAACAAAGATTTAAGTTATAAAATATACTGTTTGTAATTAGAATATAGATACCGCGTCTCTGAATCAAAAGGATTTAAGAAAAAACAGAGAACAGAAAAATGATATGTTCCGGAAAGGTTTGTTACTGAGTTTAACTTATTGTCAGCTTATTGTCAGCAGACTACAAATCAGGTGTGTTATCTGAAGGTTTTGAAATGTTTTTCTCCCACGAGTAAAGACACATGTGCACACTTCGCTCATGGTGTGTTATCCAAGAAATCACCCAAACTATACTAAAAGACTCGCTATAATGTTTATGCCTTTTGTTTTTGTCCGGCAGGGCTAAACTGGGACACGGTCTGCTCTCAGGCCAGCACTCCAAACCACCCATGAAATCTGAGCTCATTGAACAGGTGATGAAAGAAGAAAACAAGGTATTAAACTGGGTATGTCCAGCTCCCGAACTGGGTCCATAACCGACGGAAGCATGTTAATACTGAGTGGCAGCAAAGTGAGTCTTTTTCATGTAATGTCCAAACTGTTAGGAGTGTCAGTCTGTCAGTTTGACGTCTTCCCAGTTTAAACATGAAGCAGCTTTTCATTAAGAAGTGTATCTGTGTTATTAACACCTGAGCTTTTTTTTTTTTTTTTCTTTTCCTAATTGCGACAGCTAGAGAGATGTGGATCGAAACAAAAGGAAGATGTGATTTTTAGATACATGTTCAAGTTTTCTTGTGACCTTTTTTTTTTCTTTAGTCTGAAAATAGCTGTTGGCTGCAGTCCCACATGTGCAACTCAAATTGTTTATGAACGCTGCTCCAGGCACAGCTCTAATAATGTGTTTTGTTGTTAATTCCCCACGCTGCTGCTTAATGTTGTCACAAATATTAGTTAACGTCCGTCCTGTGCTTCATGCAATCTCTCAATTCCTTCTTTAATTGATTTATATGGGTATTTCTTTGTGTGTTATGCTTCACAAATTAAATGCACATGATGTGAAATAATTGCCTTTTCAACCACTTAGTGCACGGCTGCCAGGAAAGCATTAAAGCATAATGGGGCCCAGCACTTGGTCTGTAAGCCCCGGGCAGTAATTGATAGGGCCGCGCTGTGATCCTGCACTTCCTACACATGTGATGGTGGGGTCAGGTTTGGATACATATTGACAGCTGTGAAGGGGCTTCAGTTGGCATGCTGTGGTCAGTCTGTATTAAGGAAGTATTACCCATTGCAATTATATATTCTCATTAAAATTACTTTTTAAGTTTACTCCCCTGGCAAACACTTGTACGCCATGGATTCCTTTAGTGTGGCTAGAAGTGGGCCCACATAGTGTGGCAGGGTGATGTAGGCATGTGTCCACATTAGATATATTTATAATTAATTAATTATGAATATTATGTAGCTTGCCTTGTAGGAGGGTAGCTTGGCCTGGCAGTGCTGATGGATTAAGCACATTCACTTAAGTATTGTAGGCTACTACTACAATTTTTAGGGAGCCTAATTGTAATTTACCTGAGTATCTCTATTTTACACACGTAATACTTCTACTCCACCATATATTGGAGGCAAATATTCAACTTTTTTTCTCGACTAACATGATTTTTGTCAACTAATCAAATAGTTGATTTAATCGACAGATCTGTAAAAAGTTTCTCCACGAAGAATCACACAGAAGCACCACTTTTAATCTCGTGTTTACCAGAGATGTGCTCATAAGTTCTTGGAAATAAGTCACTCATGAAAAAACATTTAAAAAAAAAGACTATTCGAATTCAGAAATCTTAGTTGACTACGAGCAAAGCAACCTATTAGTTGACCAATCGACTAAGAGAGGGCAGCCCTATTTATCTGATAACTTTAGTTACTACTTAGATTATTAATAAATCTAAATCAACTAATTAATGATATTTCATTATAGGTTAAAGTACCCAACAGTAAATATAGTAATTAGAATCAACGTTAGTCCCACCGTTACCAGCTAAGTTTACAACATGAAAGTGATGAACACATTAATGCATCACTAATTACAATTAATATAATTATATGAATCTAAAAAGGGGCGAAATTCTGTATGAGTAGTATATTTTAATGCTAATACTTTTGTAGTTTAACTTGATTATGATTTTAAATACTCTTACTTGTGTATTTTTACAATGGAGTAAGTTTTCTGAATACTTCCCCCACTGTTGCCTGTCAAAAATTGTTGGTTTTACGCTTCGACTTTTGTGTGTATAACACAAACGAAAAGCAAATCTGTTAACGCTAGCTAATTCATGCTCTTTAAAGGTACGCAAATGTTTTCACTCTCTGACAATCGAGCCAGCTAGCTAGTTGTTCTAGGTACTCAGTTTTTCATTGTTGATGCTGTACCTTTTCTGCATCACTTTTCTAACCTTGAGTCACAGCCAATACCACTAAAATCAGTATTATGGTATGTCAATATGCTATTTTACAGATTCAAAACCCTTCACATGATATAAAAGCAAGTGTCTTTACTGAAGCTATAAATGCTTATATGTCACACCGTGCTTTGTATTGGATTCACCGGTAATTCTCCTGGTACAGAGCCTGGTACTGGCAGGCCACACCAAGATGCTTTCACTGTATATCTCTAATATTCACTACTGGTCTGCTCTGCTGTGTGGTCTGATACTCATCTCTGAGACAGGTGAGTGGTCATGCAGTCAGTGTGTGTGTGTGTGTGTATGTGACCCGCAAAATGTTGTCATTCCAGCACCAGCAGAAAGGCGTCTCTCCTCGAATGTTGAAGGCCCTGGTCAGCAGGGGACACCCAGAGTTCTCCTCCAGCAGACAGCAAGATGCCCAAGAGTTCCTCCTGCACGTCATCAACCTGGTGGAGGTGAGTGAAGCCAAACCTCTGTGCACGTCAAAATATTCAAAATGTACAATGATTATGTATTAGCAGGAACCACAGCCAGTAGTTTATGTGGACAGGTCACGTTGGTATGTATGTGACATCATGAGATTAACAGTCATACCTACAGAGCAGGTGTTGAGTTATTAGAAGCTGTTGAGTTTATAAAAAAATGTAATATAAATAACATTGTGCTGTGTGTAGACTTAGTCACGATTTTTTGAGTTAACAGAATTATTTGCCTAATATGCTCAGCATTCAAGCGTTACATGAAAATCATTTTTATTCCTAGTTTTGGTTGAATATTGGGGTAAAGAATTGTTGTCTTTTTTTTCTCCTACATTATTTGTTTTTTTACAAAATGGCTGGGTTACATCTGACCTGTGACACACATGGACAGGCAGCTGATTGGGAGGGGAGGGTCTGCTTTTGACTAAACACAGCTCACTGTCTCTTTGGTTGGTACGCACACATGGGGTACTCTGACATGTCTTTCTCAAACTGGATATAGATAGCTCGGTGCTATCTGTTCCACAGGGAGGCCAGATAATGCTTCCTATTCTGCCTCAGCCGTGATGCATGCCCTGACTCGGACCCGACACTTCCTCAGCAACATGCCACCAAAAATTACAAAGACACTCATTTCTACATATTTGGCCCATAATCTGTAGAAATCTTACAGCTCTAATTCGAAAAAGGCCGTTACTGTCTTACCCTCCTCTACTCCTCTTGCTTGCCTCTACAGCTGTCTGCGAACTAGACACATATTTAGTTATCCAGACATAGTTAGTGTGACTAAAACCACCATCAGCAACATTTCCCTCTGTCTATGTCAGTCTGCATACTCGACCTGAGTAAAATTATAACTTGTGTATTTCTGTTACCTCTTAGAATAGAAGGGCTGGACTGCAGAAAAGCTGCGGCGCAAACCAGCGTGTTAAGTCGTGATGCTATCCTTCATCACAGTCTTCTAATAAACACAGTGTAAACTTCAGTGACCCTTGTTCAGAAGCAGTGAGGAGACACAGAGCCGCTCAGTGATAAAGATGAATGGACCTGTGATTCTGAATTGATGTAACACACTCAGTTATGGAGGGGTACTGTAAGTTGAGGCGGATCCTAAATTAAAGAGTGTCGTCTACATAATAAATGACTGTATTAAGAGATGTGGGTCAAACAAGCAGTAGGGTTGTTATGCCAGGAGACTGTAATAGACCACAGCAAGGAATAGATTTATAGATGCAGTTGCATTTGAAACCTCAGGCTGTCATGTGTCACAGAAGCTTCACATGTTCATGGTACATGTGAAGCTTCTGCACAGCTCTTAAGCAGACGGTGTTGTTTTTGACTTGGAACTCATTTCTAAAATATTCAGATCTTACTCCAAAAAGTATTTGTCACAATCTTTATACCAAGACACTCTTTATTCAATATTTAAACAAAAAGTCTGTTATCAAACTAACTGCCGACTCTCATTGACTAGTTTTCCTGATATTCAGTCTCACCCTCTCATCCTCCATATACGTCGTTGTCTTACAGAGGAATAGCTCAGGCACAGAGAATCCAAGCGACGTCTTCCGCTTCCTGGTGGAGGAGCGAGTTCAGTGCTGCCAGACACGCCGGGTTCGTTACTCTCAACGGGTGGACTACTGCATCCAGCTGCCAGCTCCCTTTGAGGCGGCCACCAATCGAGGTAAAAGGAGCCCCCCATACACACAAAATGATCTGCTGCAGCAGGAAGCCACAGCTGCCTCAGGTCGATACAGCTGCACAACGCTGGGCTAAGGTGGCACCAGCCGCTGGGGAATCAGCAGATTCTTCTCTGAAAGGGCACAGAAGGTCCTTGTGTGCTAGACTGAAGGCTGTGTAGTTCAGAGTGAGGAGGGGACATCTTTGTCTCTTAAAGTGACTTGTTATATTCTTGTATTATTCCTTTAAACAAATGTGACCGTGGTAAAGGTGATAGTCTTTGTTTGATGCATTGTAGAAGAAAGCAGAGGCTGTCAATGTTTTGTCAGCAGCCATCTTGAACACCTTGAACCATTTATTGATATTCAAATGCAACTTGTATCGATCGCCCTTGATTTTACTCAAATCAAAATGTTGAAATACAGAATATTATGGTGTTTTGTGCAGCTCAAAGTGTTTGTGTTTGTTGTCATTCTACCAGAGGAGCTGCTGGCATACGAGACCAAGCGGAGGGACGCTGAGGAGAACATGCGGGCTCCTCCAGAGCCGGTCAGAGCTCGGATCCCCTTCACCGCCTGCCTGCAGGCCTTCACAGAGCCGGATAACGTCCCCGACTTCTGGAGCTCAGCGCTGCAGGCCAAGTCAGCTGGAGTGAAGTAAGCAAAGATCCACCTGTTCTTGGGCCCTGAATCAGTGTTTTTTCATCACCTTACATCTTTAAATCAAAGCTGTATTAATATTGTATTCCTAAAATTGTATTTCCTTTCTTTTAAATCCCATTTTCTTGAACATTTCTTGTTATTTCCCTTTGCAGAACTTCCCGTTTCGCCTCCTTCCCAGAGTATCTGATTTTGCAGATCAAGAAATTCACATTCGGGTTTGACTGGGTGCCGAAGAAACTAGGTAACTATCTGTTACCCTTCACCCTGGGATTTAAACTGTCTTTTACTGGCCTCCACCAATGTTGTGACTCAGTTATTATACGTATTTGTAGTGCTGTAGATGTCCAGCAGAGGGCACCATCAAACAGCAATTCACAAGGTGAAACTGTACAATTTTGACTCCGAAATTCAAATGAGTGTCTTAAATTGCAGAAACTCTCAGGGTGCTCTTATCGCGTTGCCAACAAAATCAAGGGTTTAAATTGTTAAACTGTGCAGTTTTCACGAATTAGATAAGGCCATTGTGTCATTTACACAAACAGCAGGAACCTCACTTCTTTTGTGATCAAGTTTTTCTTTGATATGTTTTCACTCCTCAGTGAAATCTGTGAGAGGTGTTCAAAAATAAGTGCTAACTGATAAAGTGCCAACATTTAAAAGAAAATATCAAACTAACCCATTGATAAAAGAACAATTGATGAATGCGGGCTATGAGAAAAGATTTAAAAATGATAAAAAAGAAGCTTTTAGAACCACGGCTTCAGGAGACTTGGAGCAAACACTCTGATCACCATGAATGTCAATTCTCAGTGAAGTTGTATGTGTGTTTATTCCTGTATAGACTTGGCCATTGATGTTCCAGACTTTCTGGATCTGAGCAGGCTGCGAGCTGCTGGGCTGCAGGCGAGTGAAGAGGAGCTGCCTGACCTCCTGCCTCCCATCGTGCTAGCTGAAGACACCAGAGGTACTGAAAAAGTCAATTTGATGTACGTGTGTGTGTGTTTGTGTTTGTGTGTGTGTGTGTGTGTGTGTGTGTGTGTGTGTGTGTGTATATATGCATCGAGATACAGCCGTATGCATTAAGAGACATGTCAATACAGTTGGGACAACTACATTACAAGTAGGATTATGTAAATGATCTTTTTAATCTGACATTTTGTTCTTTCTCCATTTCTATTGCATATTTGCAAATAAACATTGGTGCCAACATTTGGTTTAAATATTCAGATATATTCCACTGTTTTCAGATCAGACAGTGCTCCATTTTTCTAACCCAGCATTCACAGAGAAGGATCCCCTGGTCATAAGCTGCCATGACTCACCTACAGTGTCCTTCAGGGATATATTTGCATTCGTGCGTGACTATTTGGGGAAAACAAATGTAAAACAGCGCTCTTAAATACTGGAGGCATTTTTGGCCCTTCATGTTCAATTCCACAGTCCTTTTATTCATTTTAAAGGGCATTGTTTTCTCCGAGCACCAGATTAAAAAAAAAAAAAAAAAAAAGTTGCCCGGCTTGCCAAAGATATTCTGTAATATTAAAACGCTTTTAATATGAGACAGCATACAGTATATCAGATTGTTCCCAGTAAAGTGGAATACAGTGTTGCTTTGAGAACTAACTCAGATGTATGTTGTTCCAAAGCTGCTACCTAACATCCTTTTCAGGAGATGTAGGGGATTTTTGTGACAGAGACAAACGATCCGTGAAATTGTCTCTAATATGATGTTCTGCTCAAAGCCACCCAGGTTTACTCTTAAGGGCATATTGAATGGAATCCCAGGGAAAGGCATGCTCAATCAATTACTGAAATGTTGTTGTGTTCACAGTGTGGCTAAGCCTAATAAGTTATAATGATTTTATAAGATCCCCTTGTAATGCACTTCCCTGGGCTCTGGGAATAGAAAGCCACCGAGTGCGTTTTGGGCCCAAACTGTATTTTATTTTACTTTTCTTGAAACTTTGTTGCATCAGACTGTTTGATGCTAAGTGATATTTCCAGCATGACATACAGTGTACTTGAGCCTTTTTGTCTGCCTCTCTTCCTAAAGGCCAAAACTACAACCTCAGTTCCTTTTCTTTCTTTCTTTGTCTCCTCTGTGATTGTGATTCTCACTCCTCCATCCCTTCTTCAGTTGTTTGCAAAGTTCAGCGACATCAAGTTATCAGTGTCCTCCTTAATATTTTAGCAGGCGTGAAGCACAGAGTGTTCTGTTCCGTCTCAAGCTCCAAACACAAAAAGGGTCCCAGTACAAAGACACAGTAACATCAGCAAGCAGCCTTTGCAGCACACATCAACAGACCTGGGAGGGTTTTTTTCTAAGAGCTTTACAGAATCGTTTAGCCCGCTGCTTGTGAGGACAGGAAAGTCGAAGGACAAAACTGAAGACTGAACACGTTCGTCTGAATGTGCCTTAATATTTCAGGAAACCTGTACCTGCTATCTCAGACCTCCAAACACATGAAATTAGCTCCTTGGAAGAGCGCATCGACTTAAAACTCTTCAGACCGTCACATAAATCGTCCTTTGAGCTGAAACTACCTTGCTAAGGCAGCATGGCATATCTCCGTCTGACAGCAGGAAGCTATCCAGCTATCGGAGAGGCCCACAGTGAAACCAGTGCATAGACTGTGTAAATGTTGTCTGGATGTAGTAAGTTGGAGCTGGTAGAGTTATTTGAATCTTTTATTGCGTCTCACGTTGACTTCCATCAGAGCTTCTCTTCCGATAGACAGAGAGGTTAAAACCATTTGTGTTAAACATCTGGAAATGATGTGCTGTTTTCAATGCATTTTCTGATGGATTTTAAATGATGGGTTTTTGCAAATGAACCACTGACCCACTATCCCCCAGCTGGCTTCAGCAGTGATTAATCACGGGTTACTCTCCAAAAGGCTTCAGTGCTCCTTATTGATTACACAGTACAGCCCAAATGTGTTTTCCTGTCTGCTGCTTGAACCACATTATTTCTCATTGGTCGGTGTATCACCAATTCACTCAATTATTCCAGGCCATTAAGGAAATGGAAGGAAAAAATGTATCATGGCTGTTTGTGATTCTATTTTTCTTTTCGAAAACACAAAACAAATGATTAAAAGCTGCTCAAAAGCAGCCATTTTTCAATTTCAAATACCCACTGGGTATTTAAAATGAACCATGATCTGTTTTGTTTTTCTGAAGTCAATAAAAATATGAACGAGAGGGAGGAAGCACACGAGAAATTGTGTGAGCAGGATTTAATGAAACTAAAACTGCAACCAACTAAAACTGAATTTGGAAAACACCGATTCAGCAATGTCCATTATACAGAAATATCTACAGCAGCTTATTATTTACCAAACCAACATTTTGGAAGATCCTCTTATTTGATATTATTTGTAGATTAATTAGCTTGGAAGTGAATGTACTCAAAAATCAAAATACACTAAACCAGTGCTAGTGTGTGATCTCATTGTGTGCCGTCACCTAAAATAAGTTTCTTCTCTTTCAGATAACTCCATGGGCTCCATAGACTGTGAGTATTTCATCTCTATTCAACCGTTCTCAGTTATACTATCTATGTGAAAAACTTACAGCCATGGAAAATGTATTTTGGGCACCAAGCAATGATTAATGCTATGTAGCTAAAGCTATGACCATGTACACTTGAGCAGGTGCTGCAGCTGCTCTTTCCTTCCGAACTAACTTTACTTTTTCACGTGGCTCTGCTTGTTAGCCAGACTCATTCTTCTCCTTGATAAATCATCCCTCAATAAAGACGTCCCCAGGGCTGATTCTCCCATGGTCTCTTTGTCTAATGAGGCCCAAAGAGAGAGAGCCACCACAGATCTGTTTGGTTGTTTAAATTGGTTACCGGTGGTGTTGAAAATCAGCAACTGCTATGTTTTTAGTTATTGATGTCGGTCTGTCGCGTCCACAGCTCCAGAAATAGACGAGGCGGCGGTCATGCAGCTGGCAGAGATGGGCTTTCCGCTGGAGGCCTGTAGGAAGGCGGTCTACTACACAGGCAACATGGGCCCAGAGATGGCCTTCAACTGGATCATAGCCCACATGGAGGAGCCTGGTAAGGGAACATCACTGCATTCAAATGAATGCAGTGATGAAATATTGCAAAAATATTTTGCCTCCTTGCCTTCAAAAAAGTCCAATCATTTAATTAATGAATGAAAGGTAATGTCCAAATTCATGGTAAGGGTCCAATGATCAAAAATAGTCAAGTCAAAATAGTGATGACAAGAAATCGGGCGTGGGGGAAGAGGGTGTTAAGTGAGTGTTGAGGGTTAAAGGAGTAACCGTAACTCCAAAAATACTGGTGACAAATAATCAGAACAGCGGCTGCACTGAAAGACACATAGTTCTCCAACCATTTCATTAAGCTGAGTCTGAGTCTTTTCTGCAAAAGACTATGCCTATGCAGACCTGTCAAAAACATTTCTGCAGCAAGTGCACAAAGCCAAGGCAAGTTTATTTGTGTGGGACCTTTTGAGCACAAAGGTAATTCAAAGTGACACATCACATCTCCAGTTCTTCCATTACAGTTAAGTTGTTTTATGCAAGTGTCAGACTTTGCATCCCTTTGTGTACTGCAGGTGTGAATCAATGTGTGTGTGTTTGTGTATATCTTCACCAGAAACTTTGTCGGCGCTGACTTTGTGTCTCGTAGAGCCTCTTAGCAGTGGAGACGGTCCCCTGAGACTCGTGTCACATGTATTTCCCTGGTTGGCTGTAAAGGGCCTCTACATTGGAGGGAAATTAGAGCAGCCAGTTGGTTTTTAAATGGGCCTAATACATCCGCAAAAAGCACCGCATTCAGGCTCAATAACCTCAGTAGAATGGCCTGTCCCTGCCTGCTGCACAAAGGTTGCTTCTACCTCTTCCTCCTCCACATTTGTTTGGTTTCAATACTTTTCCATTAGCGTCACTTAGACTTATTTTTTTTAAGAGCTAAACTTTTCACTTAATCATTTTTAGATGGGTGTCTTTTTGACTGAGAGGAACCCTGAGTGCTGCATTCACAACAATGACACCTTCTTATAAGAGGTTCATTTCCAAGTGCAGGCAAGGCAACTCAATTATTCCACCTATTTATCGTAATTATTTTTACAGGGAATTTGGTAGAAAAGGAAATTAAGCCTTTTTGAACAGGACCAGAGTTCAGTAAACTTCATGAATGTTTTTAATAAAGGCTGTGATGAGATCTAAACAGATCGAAACAAAGTTTGTGTTAGAAGTTGAATGATAAGTGAAACTTTGCTAAATTGGTTAACGTGCAAACATGAGCTGTTCAGTTTTGTCTTTAATTTCTCTGACTGCAAGACAGTCTTCTTCCTGTCGCATAAAAACAACCGCATTATGGGTAATCAAAAGGACGCGCGACAAGGAGGCTGAGATAGACACAGGAGTGGGAGATAAGTGGTACATACTGTATTTTCATTTATGGCAAGGGCGGTGATGAAAGCTCTGTTTTTGACCAACTGTCGAGTGATTACAGCAGGAGTGTCCTTGTTCCCGGACTGAGGGTCACTTCACTTTCACTTGAATCCGGTGAAAGTGCACAAAGCATTAAAGTTCACTTTTCATGCAGAGGTTATGAATGTTTATAAATAGTTTCCAGTGTTCAGATGCAGAGGATGTTTCCTGAATTGATTTAGATTTATGCAAAGTTCCTCCTTTATGCATTCTTCTGGACAGTAGTTACATCAGAGATCTGTGTTTCACCCTTCCGGATGTTTTATCACCCATAATCAGATATATTGATTCATGATCTTGCCAAAAAAAATGTAATGTTAAAAATAAATGTTTTACTTGTTTAAAAAGACAGCAATAGCACTACCTTCTTTATGAAACTACTCCTTTGTACTCGGTGTTCAAAGTATAACTTTTGTTGCCACAACAGCAAATATATGTCTCGAATCTGCTAACTTTGACCGCCAACATGAATATATTCATAGATTGGGTTGAATATAAATGGAGGGCTGCAGCATCTCATTATTATTATTCTCTCCCTCCCTCTTTTCTCAGACTTTGCAGAACCTCTCACTCTGCCCTCTGTGATGGATCCTGGTCCCTCCACCAGCGACAGCCCCATGGGCACCACCCCGCTGGGCAACTCACCCCCTGAGGAGAGCATCGCCATCCTCACTTCAATGGGCTTCCCCCGTGCTCACAGCATCCAGGCACTCAAAGCCACGGTCAGTCTTCTGCCCACTCATGTTCATGTTCACACTTTGCAATAATAATGAATAACTTTTTTTTCTCATTAGCTGGCAGCTAGACTTCTTTTCCACGCATTTTTTTTCCTTCAAATTATTTGTTTCTGCTTGCTAATTCAAATGAGTCTTAATCTCCAACATTTGTTATATACAGTAGGTTGTTTATTGTTAATCCACCCCAGTTAATGAGTTTCTACATTTGTTGTTGCTAATACTTTGGGTCTAATAGTGAGCAAAATCCTCTGCTGCTGTATTGTGGGAACAGTGATTTGTTTTGAATGAGCAGAAAAGGAAGGGTAGCTAGTGTGTGCAGTGATGGTCACCATGACACACTCACAGAGACAATAAAGAGTTACATGGAAGGAAAAAAATACATCTGAGGAAGTGCAAGAACAACACATCAATGACCGCCTGACACCACAGAGAAAGGAAGAGTGTCCTGGTCAATGAAAAGAAAAGTTCATGACAAAGCAGGAAGTTGGCAAAGAGAGGGCACGATGATGAAAACCAAGCTCTGTCACTCATGAATGGGCTTGGCTGCCCTACTTGTTTGCTTTACAGACTGCAAATGTAATAGGTCTTAACATGTCAGGGTGACTAAAAATGTCTTCTCTACATGGTGTTTACAAACAGTCCCAGCAGCATATGGACACTAATGCAGCCTTAACAGGATCTGCCTCAAAGACATGTCGAGCCATTTTATCATCAAATCTTACAAATGAATTTAAAAGGCAAAGTACAAAAGAATTGATTTGTTTTGTGTGTGTGAATCAAAGGGAATGCAGCTGCAGCAAATTAATTATCTTTTCTTTTGAAATGGGCCCCGATTCCCACATTTCATGTTTCATATTTCAAACTGCCCCCTCAGCAAAAATAGCACAGCAGACAGTTATTAAAGCACAAAAATAGACACCAGGCTTCATTGTTTATCATCCCCAATACCACCAAACTCCCTGCCATCCATGATGTTGTTGAAGTGGAAAAAAAGAACATATATTCCTCATGAGGGGGATGTAGGTGTAAAGCAGAGAGGGGTCTCATGGCCCGATTTATTATTAGTCTACAATTAGGAGGAGGAACGTTTTTTCAACCTCAGTGACGTGACTGAGAGAGATGGAAAAAAAAAAAAGCAGAAGACTTCATCAGCCAATCGAGACACACATTCTCCAGGAATCGCACCTCTATTTTGGATTAAAAGCAAACATCCTCAGGGGGGATTTAGCACAGATGGATACCTGCTGCCACCTCCCAAATAAATGCTTTCTCATGTTCAGCATTGCTTAGTTTTTTTTTAAGGAGCTAGTTAAAGATACAACAGGAAAGTAATAAGAGAGTTTAAGAAAGATAGAACATGGACATTTCGTATCCTCAGTCCAGATTTTGTCCTCATATGTATTATATATCTTCTATGTGCCAATATTTCCTGTTACAACTAGTATTTATGAAAAGAAAGTGCCCGCTTCAGTCATATTATGCATCATTTTCTGTGCAGCAGAGGATTTTCCCAGGAAAAGGGTGACGTCGTCATACAGCACATGTTCAAAACAGCAAATGTAAAGGTTTTCTTTACTGGCAAAAAACGTTTCTTTCAGAAACTGACCTATCTGAAATGGACAAATGACGTTTTGGTTTTGAATTACAATGAACTTATGTTGTAAACTTAAAAAACGTGCTTTCAGAACAATAACCTCGAACGAGCACTCGACTGGATCTTCACCCATCCGGAGGAGGAGGAGAGCGACGCTCTCTCGGACATGGCGGACACAGAGCCAAATGACAACGCTTTCTCCAACGCCAACTCACACAGCGACTCCACGCTGTCTCCAGACAGAGACGCGTCGGGTCCGCGGGTCAAAGATGGACCGGGACGTGAGTGACTTTATTTTCTTATTAATCCTTATCTGAAGTTCATCAAGTAATGAGAGGTTGACTTCTACTATTTTTCTAATTTCACATTAGGTACTTTCAAAGCTCCAACAAATATCTGACGCTGATACGCAGTGTACTGTGGTGCAGCAGGGCACAACAATAGGCACAAAACATGATTCAGGAGATTTTTTATTCTTAATGCTCCTCACGAAGAAAATATGCACAACGTATTAATACATCTACATATTTATATACCAATGAAGTTCAAACAAAGCAAAATTGTGGGTGAAAATAGGAATGCAGACGTTCTGGCTTTTCACCATTTTTATTGTTTTAAAATGTCTTTACTATTCACAGAAGCATGGAGGCATACAAAGCTCGTATGTATGAAATGAAAGCCTGGTGTTTACATGTCCTTCTACTAAAGCTGTTAATTCAAACGGGTTATCTAAAATAATGTTTTGTTTAAGATATTTAGTATTTGTGGAACGCTGCTGTGTTGTCTGATTTTGTGTTCCCTTTTCAGGTTATGAGCTCTTTGCTTTCATCAGTCACATGGGAGCATCCACAATGTCTGGACATTATGTTTGTCACATCAAAAAGGAGGGAAGGTGAGTTGCACACAGTTTCTCTTCTTTATATGTATTCAGTTCATTGTGGGACAGAACTGACAGCATATTGATTATCACCAGTCACAAAAATCTCTCTTTTCTCGTGGTCTAACCTTGATATGTTTTCATCTCTGGAAATATATTTTCCAAAGAAGTTAGATTATTATTGGTTTTCTTATTAAGTTTTTGCCACCAGAAGTCTGAAAATGAATTATTCAAAATTGCAGGGACAGCCTATTTTTGTTAGACTGAGTGGAAAGAATAAACTGACCCATTTCCTCTCATAACAGTTAGTTTTGCAATAATTCACACTTTGACAGCATTTCCCGAGGTACTTTCCCACAAATGTTCTTTTTTCCCCCCCTGTAGGTGGGTGATCTACAACGACCACAAAGTGTGTTTGTCAGAAAGGCCTCCAAAAGACTTGGGCTACATCTACTTTTACCATCGACTGTCTAGCAGTTAAAGTAAAGTTACTGCCCCTCCACCATGCAACCTTTTAAAGAACCGCAGTCTTTCACGCCGAAGACTGGCAGACAACTTTACCAACAGCCGCACTGGAAACGATGGAAATAACCTTTCAGACCAGCTGCTCGCCTTAACGTGATGTCATTCAGGAGCAACCAGGAACCCTGGTCAGAAAGGGAAAGCAATGTGCTTTTTGTGCGTTTGTGTTATGTTCTGCTTTAAATGTGTGTTTCAGTATCTATGTTTAAGAAAAGACATTTTCTTGGCAGTGTAGGTGCAGAGGGATGTGTGCAATTTCCACTTCTGTATTCAAAATAATGTCACATATCAAATCTCATTGTTCCTCCTCTATGCCTTCTGCTTCTGTGCCAGTATTGTCAAAGTGGTACATTTTATAAATGTATATTGAAATGGCTTCACTGCCGGCCCTGAAATGCTCTGAAATGGCAACAACAAACAAGAAGTTACTGCTGCTGGTGGCTTTCCATTTTACTTTTAAATACAAAAAACAGCACCAGATGTTAACAAGACTGTAGTTAAAAATACAGCATTACTGGTTGAATAATGGCTCAGACCTGCTCCAGTTCTACCTGGAGACGACATGCAAGTTTGTCCCTTTTTAACGAGAAGCCATCTGAGGTAAACTGGCTGAGAGCTCAAGATAGAAGTATTTTCCTTCCCTGAAAGCACTTTTTGACTAAAACAAGTCATATTTTGCAGCTGATGGAGTTTTTTTATTCTCCAGCTGTAAGCAATTGAATGTGATCTCTTGAATTTCAACTTCAGAACTGCTGAACCTGTAAATCCTCGAAGTGGCCAATGGCAGGATTGCATATAATTGATGTCTAATACAAGCAAAGCTGTACTTATTCAAGGATCGTTATCAAATCATAAGTGCAGTGAGCTTCTTTCCTTAATTACGTTTGCCCAAATAAGATATTTTCATAGTAGGCAAAACTTTAACTCTCAGCTGCAGCTGGTCCAGTTCAGTTCCTTTATCACTCTTGACAGATTCAGACTGTGACCCAAAAGTTAAAATAAATGTTTTTTTCTTCACCTGTTGCCACTTTTTACAGGTCAGTTAATCCATTTATGCATCTGAACTGTTTCCACGTCTCAAGCAATTTATGCAACTACAACCAAATCTCCTGAACCTACTGTAAGGTAAAAGCTGTTCGCTGACCGGTATCTCTTGTGCTAACAGATGTGGTGCAGTACTGAATGTATGACTTCGTGGTGCTCACAACAACCAAAGCCTCCTGCTCAGCTTTAATACTCTGAAACCACAGTAGGACTGGCCCTTTGCAGTTTCGTCACTATAAGTAACCTCATGGAAAGATTCAACGTAGACATCATGTGGCTGGTTGTCAGATAGAAGTGAATTTGCAGCCTCTGACTGAATCTTGTTTTATCTGTTGCATCTCAAAGGGGCAGAGTAATATTACAAAGTGTTGGTATTTTTTCAGTGGCACAAACACTCAATTCATGTTTGGTGACCTGGAATTGGAATTAAAGGGAAGTTCTGCTGAAAATGCTTTTCGAACGTTAAAGCATTCTGTGCCTTCTTAAAGGTAACGTGTGCCACCTTTTTATGTGGATGTCCAATCATTGCTGATGGTGGTTGTAGCCCACTGAAGAAATATGTTCCCTATTGCGTGCTATATTGACAGAGAAAGCTGTTAAACCGTAAAATACAACTGTACACCTTCTGAATTCCAGTTTCTCTCTCACATCAAACTAAAACGGGCTTACCTGCCTGTATAGCTCATCGTAAAACGCACGTCATTCAAATTGGACAGAAAAAACCAAACACGTCTTGGTAAGTCTTTCCACTGTTTCAACAACCAGTTACTTTGGTTTGGTCGAAATGGATCCTTAATTCACAGAGTAAGATGTGAAAGTTAAATGAATGCAAAAATTGGCTAATTTTTCTTTTAAGATTTCAATTTTTGAGTAATTTCTTCTTATATTCAAGAAGAGTATAATTCTTTGATGATAAACCGACATTTCCCAAGAGGGTGGAAAGAAACAAAAGGAGACATATTTGATAAATATCAGAAACTGGAAGATAGTGAAGGAATACGAAAAATGTCTTTCAACGATCTCAGGTTATGCTTGTAAATAGGAATGTCTTTCCTTGAGGGTTAATATCTTTACAGACAAAAAAAACATCACCGAAGCCTAGAGATAGATCATTTTACAGAGTAAATCCGTATTTCAGCGGTGCTCCCCTTTAACAACACTGTCATGAGCAGAACTTTGGTTTTATTATATATTGTCCTCTTAACTTCATCAGATACTTGATCAGCTGCTGCAGTGCTCCTTGTCTATGCAGCGGGGAATTCTATGCGATCTCTCTATGCAAGTCTTGTGTTTCTGCCGTTCTTCCTAAAAACAGTCATTTTATTCTTGTCGGAAACCAAACGTATCCTGTCAAAACCTGGTCTGTAATCAGCGTCTCTGTTCTTCATCATCAGTAGATGGGTAACGTAGTTGTCCTCAGATATTCTGTGCAATTAATTTTATTTCCCTGCAGCTTTTGTGACCCCCCCCCCCCACCCCCCACCACCACCACACACATCTTCCTGACCGTGTTATCGTTTTTTGTATTTTGTCTTTTTGCTTCAGCTTTCCCTCCAGCTCGGTCTCTTCCATTCTTTTAAAATTAAAAGGGTTCAGTTTGTCACAAAAAGGCTTATTCACTGTCAGCATGTGCACTAGATGTTGACATTTAGTCATTTGGATTGTACAAGTGTACTTTTGTGAGTTGTATTCTCTTTTTTCATTTAACTAAATGTCAAAAAAAAGGTTCTTCACTTGTTTTTACTCCGTTGCCTTTTTTTGCAAACAAGTTTGTGCCAATTCTGTAGCTTTCATTACATAGATTTCCTGAAGGGATTATTTTAAGTTGACTTTTGTAATGTATGCTTTTATCCAAATGCGGCTTATGTGTACGTGAATAGAGTCATGCCCGTATACTCACTGGCACTGTTTACTTACAATGTTTGGATAATTTAATAAACTACACCTTTGTTGAGACTTGGCCTCTTTAAGAATAAACAAGAAGCTGCAGTACAAGTGTTTTCTTTTAGAAAATAAAGACACAAAAGCATAGAATATATAACAACAGTTTATTTAAAAAGATTACTTTCATATGGTATGTTTTAAAGGTGCTAATGCTTTCCTTGTGATTATACAGGGAGAGTAATATGCATTATAGTAGATGTTTCAATAAGTAATTCATACTGTATATAAAGTATATAATTTCTAAGTTCATTCATCAAAATATCATTTTATTCATACATGTCTGATTCATCGATTAAATAAACCAGAACAAACTGCCTCTGTACACATGTTGAATTAAAGGAGTGAAGAAACAAATGTACACATGTACTGATAACCTTTATGAACCCCAACCAATGATGCCGCTAATAAGATTTTATAGTGCGAGAGCGGACAGCCAATCGCACAGCACAATAAAATACAATAAAATATAATTACTACTGTAAACCTGTAATACACTATTGGGAAAATGCATTATAATAAAATGAGTTTCTGAACACATTATTTAATGGTTAAATATGTCTTTATTCATGATCAATATGTTTACTTATTTAAAAATGCCCTATTTATTTATGTAATTTTTAACTCCTCTGGTCTCCAAATGTAAAGCATTAAGAGCAAAGCTATGTAAACGTAGCACTGAACATATTAATATCATGTTTTGTTCCGTTTACATGTGTAACCAGAACTAATGAAGCTGTAATGTGTTACAGTATGTAACATATGATATCAATGAAATAACTATTTATAGTTTACAGTCACTTTATGAATGTGTGCATGACAATTTATTGATATGACGTTGACCATGATCAAGGGTCAACACTAAAAGGAAGATGGTATAACAGCAGACAGCTGGCTCTACTGGCTGGGGTTATTGAAAGTGTTACCAGTACATTCATCATCTGTAGAAGCCATAATTACAAAATGTCTACAGAATATAACTAAGATTAGCCATTTGTAGCAATGTACCAGTATTCAAGCTCAAGTGTGGCCACGTTCGGAAGAGATTAAATGTATTACATCTCTCACTCCTTCCTCTGCTCGAGCCGTGCACACTCTATGCAAGAAAAGGATCTTGTGCAGAATATATACTGAATATATATACACATCACTTTTTGTCAAGGTTGCAGATTTTAAAAGTGCACCGTAAAAATATTGCAAGGAAACCTCAGGATATATTTCATTTTTCTACGTTGGTGGGAGCAGGAAAAAAAAGCACTTTCATGTATTTTATGCATACAAATGAAAAACAGCATTCAGAAAAAAAAATGTAGAGGCTCTAGCATGCAATCAACCTCGATCTGTTCCTCACAAGCATGCGTTAAGCTAGGTCAGTTCACCTGAGAAGGTACAGTAGGTAGGTTCTACAAAAAGAAATCAGTCACCAGGCATCCTATCTCAATGCGCTGCAGTACAATGTACACATGTTTAGATTTTAAGCTAGCCATTTAAAGTTTCTTTAAAAAAATACATTTCTCATTTTTCAACACAACTACAGTATCTTGAATTGCGAAAAAAAAAGCGCAGGTCTACAACGTCGTAAGAAAACTAGAGTTGGTTTGGAAATCACAACTTAGCAGACATCTTGTTTTGCAATTCTACAACACATTGTTGACAGATAAGACAGCTGGGAGGACCAAGGACATAATGTCAGTTCATATTGAAAAATGTAGGGGTACTGGCCTGAAGAATAACTCTCATGTCTCTCAACAATCTCTCAGGGAACTAGTGAAGATTGGGTTTATGTTTTATGGAGAGTGTGTGGGAACTTGTCTCGGACATGCTGAGACTCTGATCTCAAATGAAACACCAAAAGGGACAGTGCTCAGCATGCTGGACCAGTGTGCTTCTAGCCAACAGCGTTAGCACGTAGGCTACACGATAAAAGCCTGAGGAGGATGTCAACAGAAGCAAACACTTGGCTGACACAGATGTAGAGTGGGAGCCCTCTAAACGTGTGTGCAGCTCTAACAAATGGACGCAAGCAGGACTAAGAGTCTACAGCCAACATGGTGATGTTTAGCAGCTATAATGTTTAGAATGTCATTAGTATGGCAGGTATTTGGTCATAATCTAATGCATTGAACACATTTAGATTTTGACCTGATGGTGATGCTGGATTTAAAAAATTTAAAAAAAGTCAGGGGCTCACTGAATTGTACGGCAATCCATCCTGTAGTTTAGACAGCAGGAGTCAACCTCTGGGGAACATGAGTTTCGGTACCAAATTTCATGGCGATCCATCAAACAGCTGCTGAGATATTTCAGTCCTAACCAAAGTGGTGCTCCGACAGACCGACATTTCCATCTGTAAAGCCGCGATGCTAGCGCAGCTGAAAATAACTTATTTAGTAATTGAATGACAATGAAATATTCAACAGGATATCGCTGATGGACCACTGGATACCCCCCATAATATTTCAGTGAAAAAAAAAGCCACACTGCCAATTCTTTCATCATAATAAAATCTCTGAATAAATTTGTGCGTGCACTTCTGCTTCGGTCTCAAAGTCGTATTGCTACACCACAGTTTTATGAAACATGATGGCTACACTTTAGGAGGACGCTGTATGCGTATCGACCACGTTTCTCTCCTGGAAAAAGAGCACTCGTTTTCACTCTCCCCCAGCTTCCTAATGAAACACTTCTTCTCATACAGACCATGACATCAAAGCTGTATAGTTTGGATGATGAATGGTTCTCGTACTGGTCTCTGGTTTCCCCTGATAGCTCTCTTTCAAAAGCACAGAATCACCGCTTCCTTTTGGCCCACCGAGGCAGACGGGGACAAACTGAAAATTCAGAATGGCAACATAAAACATGACCTCTTGCATAGGATCTGAGAATAAAAAGCTACTTTCTACAGCACACCCAGACTGGGGATGTGCCTGTTAAACACCAAGGTGCTGAGCGATACAGAACAGCAGATTATCTATCATTTACTCTCCTGCACGGCCAGGAATGTGATGTTCCCCTCATAGGCTGACTTTCAAACAAGCAAGAGTGATGCTAGAGAAGCCCAACAAAAAGCATGTTTGAAAGCTTTGCTTCCGTGGTGGTGCAGAGGAATTATCTGGAACTAGAAGGGCACACCAAGAGCACAGACCTCAGCCAAGGACATTCCAATAACTTTGTATCTGCTCCAAAATGTATTGGTTCTTCTTTGGTCCATGCTAGACCCTTCCACCATGTTTCATGAAAACCAGTCCAGTAGTTTTCTCTTTTTTTTCTTCTGTAATCTTGCTGACAAACAGACAAACAAACCGGAACAAAAACATAACCCTCCCTGGTGGAGGTAATGATAACTGGCTCCATACAATCATGTGATTTACAACTTAATGTTTTCATGTGATTAAAAGTTTACAGATGGTAAAACAAGTAGCTTTTCAAATATGTGCGGCATCCTGCCGAAGCTTACATAAATATGTAAATCATGCATGATGGCTGAGGCAGACTAATTTAATTCAATGTATGAGCTTCGTTGCCTGTGGAGGCGCAGCAAGGAAACAAATGACTGCATTAAGAAATACCCCAAGTTTTCTTAGGTCTTGGCTTGAAGCTACACGTGTACTACCTGTAATGTTAGTACACTGTATTGAAATTAATACCAACAAGAAAACGTGAGTATGGTGTACAAATCAAATGTGAGTTACTAAAGCCATCCCAGAAGAGGAGAGAGACATTTTTAGACCAGTAAAAACTTTTGTTTTGTTGTTGAAAGTTTCCACACTAATGAAGGATTTGCAGATGAATGTTGCCCAGTGTGTATTTCTCCAACTAGTCAGCATAAAGGGAACAAAGAGGAGCTAGGAGCCCCACCCCCCCTCCCCCGAAAAAAACCCAAAACAAAACAAAACAACAACAAAAAAATGGCTCAGAAAGCTTTCAAATTCAGAAGATGGTGGTTATTTAAAGAAATGAAAAACCAGTTTGAAAATGCTTAGTGTGTTCGTGTTGCCATAAAAATAGTATAAATAGAAATATTGTTGTTGGCATGCAGAGTAAGGCTTTACAACCTGGCTTGCACATTCCACTTGGATTGAGGAAAATCTGTTTGTCTGAAGTGCAAAGGGAAAACTTCTAAATGTATGTAAATTTTAAACAAGAATCCATCTATGAAAATGCTTATTCATGCGGTGTCATTATTCGCCATTGCAAGAGGATGAAAACAAGCCAGGAACAGAATTTGGAGCTCCAGGTCATGCGGTGCATTCTTTATCATTTGCTCACTAAATCCATCCTTCAAGGGGGTGAGAGAGTCTTGAGTCTTTGAAAGTAATTGGATAACAAACCTTTTCATTTTTTTTCTCAAAACCTCATCTTTTCTCTGCATGTGAGGGTTCCTGTGTGAGATTCTCATACTGTCTGCCCGCCTGTCTGTTCTGGCTCAGCTCTGTTCCACTGGATGAGTCAGTTTTTAATTGATGTGTTCTCTAAGGCATTGCTCGTACAATCTTTGCCCGTCCTTGTGCTCTTCAGGGAAATCACAAATTGCAGTGCAAATTCATCACAAAGCAGTTACTTCAAGCACTTGGAGGAACCTGTCCTCAGAATTGCTCCAAGTACGTGGACGAAAAATATGACAACTTTGACGACTATGTAAATAATTTTGACGTGCATAAAAAAACACACTATTGTCTCTAACATCAGATCCAATCCTTCCTGATGTGTGCACTTTGGGCTTTTGGCTGTTGGGTAGAAATTGAAGGGTAAGTGAGAGGGGAGATGCTATTGTCACTACCTCCCATTCCTCAAATGTCTAGGTTGAAGGCCCGCATGAGAAGATCCAGGTCACCAATATTTGCAGCCTGGAAGAGTTCCGGCTGGTCCATCATGGATAAAGCTATCCTCAGCGCAGCCCAGATGTTTCCAGACATCACCTGGTGGGACTGCTGGCGACTCCGGCTCTTCCTCTGAAGGCTTAAGGCAGTCAGGAAGTTCCTGGCTGCCTCTCTGGGGAAGCAACAATAATAGGAATATTGGTTTAGGGTATGTGTGGGTTGAGGTAATTTTGCAATGGGTGATCCTGCGCAGGCCCGGCACAAGATAAGATAAGATAATCTTTTATTAGTCCCACAAAGGGAAAATGTGAAGGATTACAGCAGCAGAGTGGATAGTGCAAACGGACAAACAAGACACATGTTGATTTGCCTTATTTGGACTGATTATTTTGTGCTGGCCTTAGAAGGAGTGGCCATAAAGTAATTAGCAAGCTAGCTAACTAACCAGCCGTACGCTAGTTAGCCTGTATGCCAGTGTAGCATGTTTTAATGCTACACTGGAAATAATGTTGACACTCATCCAGCGATAGCAAGTGTGTGGATAAAGCTTGTTAAATTTTGCTCATTTACTCTGGCTTTCGCTTAATAATCTTACTTTATGGTTTTAGTTATCACAAAAACTCACCACAATGAGTTGGTGATATAACGTAAGTCGGTTTAGCTTATACGAAAGTTAGCCCGCTACAACAGTCGCAATGGCAACAATACACATAAAAATGGCCACCGCTCTGACCATCCTGCTACTTTGTTTCGAATGAGAATGTCCATTATACTCCTATTCAACTTTTATGGGCATAAACTATGTGAACCTTTGCGACCAAGCTAACTTGGCATGTTAAGTGACAGTTAGCAAGCCGGCTAGCACAGAAAGCTATTGGGACTGACTTGCTCTTGCATGGTTCTTGCTTGCTAGCGTGTAAGCTTGGCAGTTCACCACTAGTCCAAGTCCCTCTGTCAACAAGCATCTAGCACTGCCTATTAGGCTACACAGGGATGTACTGTGCTGCGCATCTGTCCTGTGGGCAGGACTATGTGGGTGTGTACGGACTGTACTCAATTGAGATCTCTCTGACTCCCCCTTTCGCATCTACTTGCATGGGACAAATTATACCTTTATTATTAGTGCTTGGAGCAGAGGTCTAATCAGCCATAGTATTGAAAACACCTGTGGGTGGCTGCAGAGCCTTTAAACGTTTGCTGGTGATCTCACAGCAGGTGTGCAGTCTGATATATACATTGATATACATTGTCTCTGGAAATACTTGTTTTTAAATAAGTTATGTATAATTTTGCAATGCTTTCAGCACCATAAACCACATTTGGTTCACTTTATTTTGTTGGGATGAAGACAGACATCTCAGAGACAGATTGAACACTGCTGGCTATTGGAGGTAAGCAAGGAGAATACATTATTTTTGTAATTTGGGTGAACTAACCCTTTAAACCTGCTTTGCATACTATGTGACATGTCTTATGTGGATATTGTAAATGCAGCAACACCGGTAGCTTTAAGCTAAAAACCCTACTCCATACTCTATTTTGAACACACCCTTTTTCAAAAGGGGGCCCCTTTGCTCCATTCATTTAATGACTAAACATTTGCTGTGCACATTGTCACAAACACTAAAGTGGGAAATGAAGTGGCTGCCTTTGGGAGCGAACATTAATAATTTAGTTAACGTTAATTAGCTTACACGCCCCACTTCACACTGTTGTTGCTTATAGATCATTTGATGAGCTAGCTAGCATTAGCAAATGCTACTGTCATTGCTTCCATATAACTTAATTCACTAGCTAGCCCGCCTGCTAACGGTCCCGCCATGTCGCTTCAGGATAGTGTGTGAAGGAATGTCGCAATTTCCAATTATGTGCTGTTGGCGTTTGTGTGCTTGGTTGCTGTTGTTGCAGGTAACGAAGTGTGCAGTAGAGTTGTTTGTTTTTGTAAGTTTGTTTTCTTTTGGATGTTGTCTTGCAGGTTCATAATGAGTCTGGAATGTTCTTGATTAAGGTAGCTAGCTAATTTTGAAATATGAATAGGCCGACTCATGTTTGGGTATTATGAATGCTGTGGGCTGAATTGTATTTCCCTCTAGGTTTTTGCCAATTCACACAATTATGTCTGTAATACTAACTTTATGGTATGGCCAACAGGCCTTTGTCTCATGCAAAATTAACATTTTCTCCACAACGCTTGTTGTTTTTTTATAATCGACCAAGCTGTTACGGTCGACATTAAGTTTATATTTACGTGCTGCTGATCATCTTATCTGCTCATCACAATATAGAGTAATTTAAGAGATTGCCTTAGAGCTGCAAGTTGTTAAGCAATCATTTTAATAATTAGTTTAATGTTTCAGTCATTTTTCAAGAAAAAATGACAAACATTCCCTGGTTGCAGCCTCTTCAATGTGAGGATTTGATGCTGACTAATCACATTCAAGGTTTGGACCATTGGTGGAATAAAACAAGAAATCTGAATGCTGACTGGGCTGTGGAATTGTGACTATTTTTGTACAGATTAATCACTTATTGAGACAGATTAATCTATAATCACAGCCTTGATTTGGATATTTGTGTATGCTTGCTGCATAGTTGGTGCATAACTGGTGGATTGCTGAGTTTAGATCTATTCATCTCACTTCGCTAGATTGTATATTCTCATCAATGGCTGGAAGTACCATTCTGACTTTCCTTTATGCTACCCTAATTAACTCTACTCCACTTCTTTAAACAAGTGTAAGAGCTAACTCTCTTATAGTCCCAGGTCACTCACCTGTGTGCCCCCAGGTTAATACAGCTGATGCCCAAGTTGTAGCGGGACCTGATGAACCCCGGTTGCAGCTCTAGGGCTCGCGTGTAAGCCTCCACCGCTTCCTCACTCCGGTCCCCGTTCGCCAGTGTGGCCCCCAGGCGGTTCCACAACAAGTAGTCCTGGATGGAGGGTGAGTGGTGGTGTTGGTTGAGTGATAAGCAATGTCAAATGGTGAAGATGAAAAGTTTGTTTTTAGTAAAGTTCACTGTGATGTGTGTTATTAGATGCTGTCAGGGTTGATAATGTTGTTCGCACATACATATTCCTGCATGTTTTTAATTAGTAAACACACTGGCAAATTCCTTTCTGCTGCATTAAAAACTAATCGGCAACATCTCTTTAGTTATCTTTAAGTCTTAAATGCTTTCCCATCTCTGAAAGAGCCTGATTAAGCAGCTGACAGTGTCTCTAACAGGAAAGTGCGAGTGAACTGGAGCTGAATAATCTAAGCTACTGCTACACAACAGTCAGCCTTGCAAATGCAGCAGTGTGCAAGTGAGACGTACATTTTTTTTATGCACAAATAACAAGGAAGTGTTTGGAGCATTATGCAGCTCCCTGCTAAGAAGAAACAACAAGGGTATTTTAAGGAGAGCTGAGTTACATCACACTGTGTCCTTGCTGTTGTTTCCCACCTGCAGGTAGACAGTCACATACAGAGGTCATGGTCTGCTACAGTATAGGGGTCCTTCATCTTTGGCTAAGCCTAGCAGTGGGATATAATTATCTCCCTTTGTGTTCAGAGCTTTTTTTTTTCCAGCAGGGGAGCCGATATTACCAAGTCGAATGTGGGAGGTTGGATTTAACAGTGAGTAATATTCGTGCCGGCCTGGGACAGTGCTGGGAGGACAGAGACTGATTTGCATGAAGGAGATGCAGAGATTGGGGGAAAAGTTTGTGGTTGTAATTATGTGTTTGTTTTCTTTGTTGTGTATGGAATATGCCCCAAAGTCTGGTTTTCTGTGTAAATATGTGTGTGTGTACTAGATCATGCTCTACTGAGAGCAAATATGTGCCAGTCCAGAGTTCATGAGGCCACATTTGGCAGCTCCTTGCTTCATATATTGCTGTGACAGTCTGATGTGCTTCATTGCATCTGTTTGCATGAGCTCTCCCTTGATATTTGTAGCTCCATCTCTCTGAGGATGTGTACAAGCTTGAGGGCTTCATGCTGTACGTGTTTGCATGGGAACATGTGGTGTGTGACAGATCATGGTTTCAAGTGTGCGCTTTAGTGTTGTGTGTGTGTGTGTGTGTGTGTGGGGGGGGGGGGGGGGGGGTTTAGCAGATCTTTGGAACTGAATGTATTTCTTGGAGTCAGTTTAATGAGTTTAGTTTCTAACAGACCAACCATAAAAGGTTAGTAAAAAAATTCCCATGTACTGTATATTGTTATTGCAATTATAATTAATATTGCACATATCATCTGCTCTTACTACAAAGTAAAAAAAAAATGCAACAGCCATAACATCTCAGTGAAATAATTTGAGCTTGCATGCCGACCCGCCAAGATTATAAATGTAACTGATTGTCACAAATCCTGCATTTAATGGAAATAAATACAATATATTTGATATATGGAGGTCTAATATATTCACAATGTACCATGGAAATAAAAAAAATATATTTTGTGCAATAACTTAAAATAGCTCATACATGGAACTGTATTATGGTTAGTTTCAACAGTGAATTGTGATTTGGAATGATAAATGCCACAATATCACAATATTGTACGGCACTCCTTCCAAACCTCTGTGAGTTTTGGAGGAAAGCACTGTTGCAGAACAGTAGTCGTAGTTTCTGTCTATATTACCATCATTATTGCAATACTATAAAATTAAATCTTATTTCTGTAATAATGGAAACAATATCATGTACAGGAAACATTTTGGCAAAGATCACAAGTGTGTGTGTGTGTGTGTGTGTGTGTGTGTGTGTGTGTGTGTGTGTGTGTGTGTGTGACAACCTATCAACAGCCACCAGCTAGGATAGGAAAACCAACCAGCATCCTCTGATTTCCAATTTTATAAAATGTATCCGTTGTGAATATTTGACTGAGCCTCTGAACATCCATAAATAGTGTTTCATGAAAGGTGCAGAGTTTACATCATTGGCAGAACTGAGTGCCAGCTGGAGTCAACCAGATGTCGGACATGTTGTCTCTGCAAGGAGACCAGTTCATCCATGTGTTCACCAACCGCAGCTTACAGTGATCTCTGCCAGTGAGACCCCAGTATGCACTGAATAGCAGCGAACATTTCAACATCTCAGAAAGTAAATTAAAATAATTGCATGGCTGGACACCACTAATTGGAAAGTACTGTATGGTTTGAGGTGAACTGACCCTTTAAGAATATGTTGATCTACAACATCAGTGCCAATATCATACTGTATGGCACTCTCTTTTGTGTTCAAAAATATTCTGAATGAAAACAATATATTCTCATGTATTGCACAGTACCCAGTATACGTGAATCTCACCGTATATTTAGATTTTTGTTGTATTACAATATACTGTATTTCTAAATATGTCGGTATACTTAATGCTTGTTTCATAAGTGATAGCAAAAAACGGAACAAATTATTATTAAATTATGTATTTGATTTAAGATGCAGATTTGAAGTTTTTGGGCTTTTACGTTTACAAATTAGGTCATTTGCATTTTGCACTTGCATCTCTTGTATTTTGCATCTCTGCCTCTGACAAGTGTTTGTGCAACTTTAGCTTCATTCTTTCTAATCTGCACATTTCCGCATTTGTGTGTCTGTGTTTGGTGTGTTTGTGTGTGTGTGTGTGTGTGTGTGTGTCCTACCTCGGGCCGCACTGACAGGGCAGTATTGAAGGCCTCTACAGCTTTGTTAAACTCTCCGCTGAGGTTGTAGAGCACTCCGAGGCCTGTCTGCAAATCCGGGTCGATGCTGTCAGAGTTGTGCTGAACTGCTTCCAGGAAGAGCTCCTTGACCTCGGGTAGCAGGGAGCTGTGGACACACACACACACACACACATACACACACACACACACACACACACACACACACACACACACACACACAGCTAAGGATTAATGTGACTTAAGGCAGCTGAGTGAGCGCTCTTAAGATCTCAGAGCTATGATGTGCACTGTACTGCTGCATGTCAACTTATATACAAAGTGTAAGAAAACGAGATGAGAGGGAGATTGACAGGAGGCTAAACGAGAGAAAACGTGAGGGAAGAAAAGAGAAATAAGAGGAAGGAAAAATGCTAAAATAGTTGAGTAAAAGAAGGACCAATAGTATTCAGTTATTTTTTTGTTCATTGGTTCAGGTTATGTAAATCATGTCCTCAGTGTTGGCTAGAGATGTCACATGATCAGAAATGTAGTAGTTGATACCAATACCAGTGAAATTCCACGATTCTTGACACCCAATTCGATGCCACTGTAAATAAGTTCACTCGTTCTCAAGTCGGTGTTAAAATTCAAAATGTTATTATTTTACATTGTTATTGTCATCTATGGTGTTTATTTGCAAAAAACACACAATGCAAATGATTAGGGAATAAACAATTGTATTTTTATGTAAATATTTGCTTTTATATTGCTTTGAAAACATCTCCCCCAAACAACTTTATTTATTCGAGTTTCGCGTCAAAAACTCAATTTTACAAATTACATTTGAACACAATCATAATGTCATGATTTACCTACGTCGAATACTATTTTTTCCTGAGTAGAGCTAGAACACATCACGATGTAACTCAAAGGAACCTCTGTTAACATTAGCTGTTAGCTCCATTAGGGGGCCTAAAATCCATTGTTGTCAATGTAGACGCGCAGAAGGCGCTCAAAAGTGAGACTGACACAGTCACGGTGCACAAGCGTTCCCAAGCGGACATTTTTTTTCAGGGCAAGACGGCTAAAAATAGTGCAACTTTTGGAATGCTGCAGCGTGCACTGCATCTCATGTAACAAGGAACAACCAATCACAGCTGGCAGATATATTTTGTACTCCGAGCTTTAAGCTCTGTCCCACTGACTATTTGACTTGCTTCGTCCAAGGACGTCACAACTCCTGGTTGAAAGGTCAGACAAATTGACAGACAAATCGAGCAGTAAAGCCACCGTGACAGATTTACGGTGCTAGAAATCCATTTATCTTTGTTTTGACTTGCCTTTTTGAGTCAGTAAGTCTTACTGCTAAAGTACCACAACTTCATCATCATTGTCATTGCAGCTTGCAGGTTTTGGGCTCAACCCCTCAAGCACCTTCGATAGAAAATGAAAGTGGCACGGCCGGTGTTTTCCACCCGTTTGTAGACGCACCATGTGAACGGCCCCTTATTAAGCCAAGCAGGACGGGTTAACAGCTACCATTAGTACCTTCTGCCGATTTCAACCGTGATCTGTTATTCACAATGTAGCACTGTCAAAGAATAAATTGGGTGCATCCCCTGGACGAGTCGTTATTTTTTACAAACATGAAAGTATCGGTTCTCTTGACCACCCTAGTGTTGGCAGAAAAAGTGGTTTAGTTTGGTATTTGAAAGCCTTGTAGTTTTTTTACTCTCTTTTATGTATATGTATGTGTGTATATGTGCGTGTATATATGTATGTATGTGTATGTGTATGTATGTATGTGTATATGTGTGTCTATAAATGTGAATTTGTCTTTAATTTGTTGTTTTTAAAAAATATAACTAGGCTAAATGTTTTTTCTAGAGCAGCAACTGATTTGTTTACAACAGCATCGTCTCAATACAAAATAACTAATATCTCACCGCAAACAAATCTAAAATGTCAAAGAAATAAATCACAATCCTGAGTGAAGTCTAGAGATAATGAAGAACACAGACATCAGTCTGTATCAGTGCTTCATCCTGGCCTCTGTCCTCCTCCCTCTGCTGATGGGATTCATGCCTGCAGGTACTCTGCTAGAAAGTGGAAGGGCTGCTTTTGCCAAATTAAAGATACATGGCAAACTAAGCTAAACAGGTAGACACATACAGACAACTTTTGTTTCAGCTTGTGTAGCCGAGGGGTTACGTTGCGTCTATACTTTATGAAGGCAATTAACTAATAACATGGCGGCTCTGTGGTCTACACTAAGGTGGCAACATTTTTATTACTCTTTGTCAGCAACAGCACATCATCACTTTACTCCTTCCGTTATTCCCTTCGCAATAAAAACCCAGAACAAATACACTGGAACACACAACAGAAACTCGGGTTTTGAAGTACAAATGGCTGAATATGCACCAAAAGCCTTATGGCTGGTGTTAAACTGCTTTGACGCTCCTCATCCGACCTAGTTTAGATTTTTGGAGCGTCAAATGACCACACTGGTTTGTGTGCTCTCTGCAGAACAGTGTCTCTACTCTACCAAAGACTGATGTAAGATAAGCTTCCTTCTGTTAACACCACTGTACAACTGCGAGTAGACGGAGTGTTTTTGTAGTCCCAAGATCTCTAACAGAGGAATATGTCTTCCATCTAGTGGATCGCATGACTCCAATTTCATATTATCATTCATAACATATCAATAATAAAAATTTTTTTATGTGTTTTGTAGGTATCTGCAACCTAAATAGTGACCTTTTCCTAAAGTATTGCTGGTTCTGTGGTGTTGGCACCAGTACTCAGTGACTCTGAACTGTTAGAAGGTTGAAATTCAGGTTTGGTATTTAAATATCAGTCTTTTGTTTGGACACTGGACATTGTTTTTACAAAACGTGTGCCAGATAAAGAAGTTAAAAATGTCTTGTGTGAGCAACGTTGTTGCAAATTCAGATTATAAGACTTATAAATACAGCTCAATACTCTATTCTGAAGTATTGTTGTTGTAGTCTACGCCTATTCAGTCTTAATACTCCACCTTTCGTATCTGCCCACGTTGGGAGCCGTAGACATCCTGCGTTGGGAGTTTGGGGATCCCATCAGGTGGGTCTTGCCCTTCAGCAGGTGCTTGTACTTTGGATTGTGTCGCAGCCAGCGGAGCAGGGCCTCGCAGGCGTCATTTCGCATACCAGTGTTGGTCAGGCTCACTGCCAGAGCCATGAGGGCTGGGAGGTTGTTTGGGTTGAGTTCCAAACACCTGGATGGAGACAGGACCCCGGCATGGGCAAGAAGAGATGGTGTAAGTTGTGCACTTCAAAGGAAAATCTAGATTTGACAGGCATTAATTGGGACAGGCCAAAGCAAGGGAACATCAGGCGGGGGCTAATGATTTCTGGATGGATGAGCTGTACTCTCAGCAGCAGGGTGAGATGATTTGCATTAGGTTTGCATTTAGTAAAAAGAAAAGCTCTCGTGTTTGTACCAGAGCGAGAGATGTGCGTTTGTAGCGGGTGCTTAAGTTATATCACCAGTTATATAATTCGGACAACTGCCACTAAGATCTACTCTTGCTTTAATAATTGAAATGGGGAGAAGAAGCAGCACTATGTTAGAGGAACAACTTGGATTAGTTTAAAAACTGGAGGACAGGCCAAAACAAGATTTAGCTTTCATCAAAAATGATTTTCAAGACAGATTTGCGACAGCAGACGCAACAACTTCCTGAAAGCCCTCATAATCTCAGTCAAACCAAATTAATTCAATCCCCCACTGCAATGTGCTGAGGCTGACGATTACATAAACTCTGGTTAAGGCAATTCAATTCCCTGCACACGTTGAAGGATGTGTTTTCCTGTGCAACATGTGTACCATGCGTACAAGGTGTAAAAATGGAAAGATAAATTCAATGATCCATATTTTTAAGTAAATCCAGTGTGACCAGACAGCCATGTTATCCAGGGACATGTCCCAGATTTAGCAGATTTGTTTGTGCACAGAACTGGCTGTCCATTAAAAAAAAACACAACATAACCACACATCAGTCACATTTTTGCCTCTTCAGTTACCCACAGCACTTCAGAACATGTTTCAGAGAGCTGTGGAGACAAAGCGAAGCACAAAATAACCCAAACTAAGCAAAACTAGACATTAGCCAAACAAAATGTGTATTTTCAATGTGTTTTTTTTTGTCTGTGTGGCAAGTGGCAAAAAAAACAAAACCCTGAATAGAGCAGGATAACATGGTGCTTGCCAACTGAAGTGTTGCCAGCCAGTGTAGCAACAACAGGAGTAATGCCAGTTAAACATCTAATCTCACTTCTTACCCAAACAGTCCCCTCACAGATGGAGCTGTTACATAATAAACAAACTACAATCTACACCATGCAAGCTATCTGAGATCTGAATACCGCTTCAGAATATGCATGAGTCTATTGGATTGAGCAAAATTCTTGCAGGGACTGAAAAATAAATGATTCACATCCTCTGGAATCCCATTTATCTAGAACAGCAATTACATTTTTGAAATTGATTTTTGAATTTCACAGAATGGACGATCTGCCTTTCCCCCCCCCCTGAATGGCTGTCTCCTGTTTTCAGTTGGCTCGTCGGTGTTCACACTCTCAGATAGGTGCAATTCAGTGTTATGAATGAAAGTGGGCCACCTCCCATTGTGGACTCCTACCCTGGCTCTGTGCAATCACCATCCATGTGGAGTGCTTCTATTTTAGGAATAAAAGTCGCAGAAATGTTTCCTTCCACTACCCAGTTGGTAAAGTAAAACAGTGAAGTAAAATGGTGATGCCATTCTTCCTCGGGAGAATAAATATGACATCCGAGTTTTGAGTTCTCTCGCTGCCAAAAAGTTCATTGAAACCTCTCAGGCAAATTTCATACGAAGAGCAATAACAGCTGACAGTCTGTCGATTTTAGTTTCTAAATGGGAATTTGTTGCAGTTGTTTGTCCTTACCTCTGGAGGGACACGATCGCTGCCTGCTCGTTCTCATTTTCCGCCTGCGTTGTCCCCAACACTTGCCAAGCCTGCGGGGAAACAAAATACAGGTAACAGTAAACAGCAGGTTGGAAACCTGGACTCCATAGCCGGTATTCTCTAGGGGGATGAAACGGTTACAGTAGCTCAGCATCGTCTGTCACGCACAATGAGTGAGATCCAGCACGGAGCGAAGGATGCCAGAGGAGCTGCAGAGCATTTAAACATTCAGAACTCCATCAAATGGAAAACTTTCATGAGGTCAAACAAGGGCGCATGCAATTATGATTAAAAATTGTGTGCGTTAAAAAAAGTGTTTATAAGCTTTGAGGGTTTTAGATACTCTCAGATATTAAACCAGCCGAGCAATAGAAAGCCACGTATTATTCAACGAGGCGATCAGAGATGACTTGCTGACATGCTGCTCTATCTCTTTAAAAAAGAAAGTGATAATTTAGGTGAGGGCTCCTCATTTATTCAAAGTTGAACGATTAGTCGTTCAACAGAAAAGTCCTCAGTTACTGTTGTGGTGATGGATTTATCATTAAACATATTTGGGGTTTGGACTGTTGGTTGGACAAAACAACACGTAAAAAACTTCAAATCACACTTTCCCAGCACACAGTGACGACTTCAGATGTCTTGCTGTGTTCTACCAACAGTGCAAAACCCCCAAATATTCAATAGAGATGTTCCAATACCATTTTCTCCTTCCTGATACAGATTCCGATACCAGTGTGTTAAAAACAACCACTATCCCAGAAGTCAGTGTAAAAAACAATGTTTAGACTGATACTAAAACGATCCCTGTTTTTATATGTTTATTTGAGCTTTAGAGCGTAACCGCTGTGAAACAGTCTCGCTCGCTTGTTGAGATGGAGAGGAGGGGCACATTTTAAATGCTGTCACAATCAGATCATAATTCCCTCTCTAATATCTATCTTATATTGCTGTGAAAACATCTCCTTAAAACGAGTGTATTTATTCAAGTTTCTCGCCCAAAAACACAAGATAACCTTGTTATCATAAAGCTGTGATTTACCTTTGCCCAAAACTCATTTTTACTGAATAGAGCTAGAAAGCAATGTAACGTTAACATCAGCAGCGTTATTTAAGCAAGTACTGTGCTGCCCAGGAGCTGCTTACAGCTAACTATACTTAGCTCTCATGCCGATTTCATCATGGATTTGTTGTTCACAATGTAACAATTTCAGGGAAAAAATAAGGTGCACAAGAGTGTTTAACCACAGGCTGGTAGTACTAGTTTGCACATGTGCAGTACCGATCGGGCAGAATATACAGATTAGGTAGCAAATTAAACATGTTGTTGTAGCATAAATGTGCTGATAAATCGTATGATAACGTCATATTGAATCGGGGCAAAGACTTGCATACCCACCGATACCCGATCCAGCATTTTAGGCTGTATCGGAGTCATTTCCGAAACTTGTATCGGCAACGGAACACAATTATACAAAATTATACAATTATATAAAAAAGAGAGAAGCAGCAAATCCTCACACTGGAGAAACTGAAACAAGCCAATGTTTTGGCATTTTAGCTTGAAACATAACTTAGAATAGTTGCTTGATTAATCAACTAGCCTTTGGTTGTTGAGTTTTTGCTCAGTAAATGTTAAATATGACCGTGTGAGAGGCTCTGTGGTTGATATTTGTGCCAGTGTTGGTCCTCCGCAGGGACACGCAAATAGAAAGTACCTTTGATCAGCACAAGAGGGCACACAATGATGTAACCAACCCTTAAATCCAAAATGTAAGATTAGGAGACTGCTCCTCTGTGTTTGTGCCTGTAAGGGCACTCTTAATAACCTGTTCTAAGGCTAATCTTTGGAGATGCATTTTTTGTTCCACTCAAAATGATGGTCGAAATCTTTTTTTTCTGAATGATTCAGAGGTCTTCACAGTGGGGGCAATAAGCCACTAAGCGCCCTAGGTGGAATTTTGGAATCGTATTAGTTCCATACACCGTGGGATAATCCTCTCCCCGGAATAACTGGCACATTTCTATATTCCAGGGGATTCCGTAAGTACTTTGTATGAAGGCTTTGCTCTTTCAGCCTGCAAAGAGGTCACTTCTTTAGAAACGGGCAGAATACAAAAAGGAGAAAAACCTGCGGATTGAGCCCTCATTCAGCTCAATGGGCAAATGGAAATTCTCATCAAGAGTACGAACAATGTGAATATTTTTGCGACAGTAAACAACTCTTTTAACAAAGAGGAATAAAAATCCTTTGCCCTCAACAGGCGATCAGTGTCTAGCCTGTGGCTGCTGCCTACTAAATCTGCTTCATACAGCCTGTGTGGTCAATAAGGAGTTGTTCCTCTATAGATTCTCTCGGTCGGGTTGACCAGTGCAGGACTACAGTTTTATTGACCATCTGTGCTGTAAATTTACCTCCATCCCCCCAGCTGTAAATATGAATGTATCCACGGATAACATGCCTGTAAATAAGGAAAAAAAATGTGTGTGCAGAATGAATTCACCTCTGAATCCTGAGGGTCCTGCAGGACGGCTCCTTCCAGCAAAAGCACAGCGTTTTGCAAGTCTCCCTCTCGTGACTTCTTTTGTCCCTCTTCAAATGCATTAGGCAAGTCTTTATAAGGATTATCTGTGTGGAAGTAGTAGCCCTGTCAGCAACAAAAAATAGGGACAGTGGTAATGTCAGTTTCTCTCTCTTCCATATTCAAATGCAAACCAGGGCAACCAGGGTGTCCTGTGCAGTTGTATATTGAAGCAAAGCTCCAGCAGCAGGAATTGATCTTTTATCTGCCTCACATCAAACCTGGGCTGAGCTCCCCGGGATTTGTCTGTTCTCTTTAAATGTTACACTTTGCATTTTCAAACTTTGATTACCCTGGTGTGTTGTTGGCCGCTTCTGAGCGTGATGACTTTAAAACGGCTTTTTCGTTACTTTTTTTCTGCACTGGGATCAATCAGAAAGCCCAGAGGTCTGATCTCGTATGATTTCATTATACAAGAAGGTCAGCTGACAAAGTATACTGCTCAGCCATATGCTCTGTCCTCTGAGACCCACAAACATGACTTTATATCATATGTGGTGATGCTATATGCATAGGATAGAATATAGGCTGTATTATGCCATATAATATTCCTACTCCAAAATATTCTGTGTATTAATCTGGGGATGAAATGGTACTTGAATCGAACCATTCAATCCAATCTGATTTGTTAAAGTAATGTTAAGGACTTGAATTCACTGGTAAACTTAAAAACAAGGCAGCTCTGCACATTTTTGGCTTTTTTTTTAAAGGTTTCAATTCCTGTGAAAAGATACATTTCCACACCCAACAGCAGTGTTTAAAGGCATAGTTTGACATTTTGGGAGTCTCTTTTCTTGTTTTTGCAGAGAGTTAGGTGAGAGGATCGATAGCACTGTCGTCACCTCTCATTTCATGCATTAAGTATGAAGTTAAGGCCTGGAGATTATCATGTTAGCTTAGCATAAAGACATCGCTAGCAAAAGGAATGCCGACAACTTGTCGTTGTCATGTATGATTTGTAATCATCATGTTAACATAAATGAAATGTAAGAGCGATTACAAACAGGGCTTTCTTTCACATCTTGTATTTTTCAAACAGAATACAATGTTCTTGTAGCTGATCCTCCTCTGAGACAGTGGAATACTCCCACACGTGGCAGGCCAGACACTTGTCCTGGTACTGGAGGAGTTGTAGCATTTAGCCTATTTCACTGACAAACAGCCTGAACTGTGAACAAACTGCACTGCAAGGTTCTAAGCTATGTTTCGTGCGCCTCTTCTCCCCTCCCACCTCCTTTGACATTGACGGTGAATGTCATTTTATTTGCCAATCTCTACTATCAAAATCACCTACCAGTACCACTAAAGACATACATTTGATGTCATTTGTTTAATCCATGCATGTAAATAGATGTGTTGACCTTCTGGGGTCTCGGCTGGTTGACTGTCGATTGCCTTGTTTAAACAAACAAGATAGAATGTGTTCATTTGTGAGCTTCAGCAGTGTGCAGAGACAGCTTACTGTCGTTATGCTAAGCTAGGTCAATCACTTCCTGGTTCGAGCTCAATGATACAGACGTAGATGATATTGATCTTATCATCTAACTCTCTGCAAGAAAGGGAATACGTGAATTTCCCTAAATGTTGAACTATTCCTTTTAATTTTGGGTGGAAAGGTAAATAGGGTTAATTGTGTGCTCTGTCCGTTGCTGCCAGTACTGTACATCTCAACATCAGTGTCATCAGGACACAGTTCTGCACATGCTGTAATGATAGTGACCTTCTCATGTGGAGACACAGATGAGGGAATCTGTGCCTGCTCGTTTTCAGTCAGCCAGTTCCTCCGAGCGAGCTCTTCCCACTCCGCCTGCATCTTATCCCAGAATTCAGTGTCTGACTACAGCCATCAGAGAGAGAGAGAGGGGGGGGGGGGGACCGGATGGATAGATGAGGGAGGAGGAGAGGGAGGGAGAGGAGAAAAGGAGGGAATGAGTGATTAGTGCACAGTAGAATAACAGCTTCTGTAATTTCCTGTCATCCTACTGTTGGAAATGTCACGTCTGTCCGGCTCACTGGCTGTAACGTATGCACCTCCACCCGTGATGACTCATCACATTTCCATGTCGAGTCGGAGCTATTCGCACTTACAAACAAATGTGTGGCCCCACCACAGAAAATCAATACACAAGATTTGAAACAATAATTATTTTTAAAAATACAAATGAATGAATACTGAACAGTAACTAAATCTAAAGTATTAATGTTTTCTGATGCGGTTAAAGGTGAGTAATACTTTCAGTATAGCTGGAAAACTGGTATTTCTATATATGGTCAGTTAAGAAATGCACAAAATGCTCATTTCTCATCTGAGAGACAAAACTTTTTTTTTTATCATGCATGTGAATAGACTTCAGATTTAGCCAGTGCCTTAACTTCTCTATTAGTTTGACCTTTGAACTCTTATTTGTTGACATTTCAGTTAGCTGACCGATCCGTGAAGGTTATGAGTTGAATATGCCAATCCACCTTCTGGTGGATTATAGCTCTTCATTGAGCTTTTTCATTTAAGTCTGTAGGATGAACCTATAGACACACGCTCACACTATTAGTCTTGCATTCAATTTCTTCAATTAACAACAACCTGCATGGTTTGCAAGTATCTAAATCTAAACCGTTTGGTATACATCCTGTATTGTCTTTGCCTGCAATGCACATCACGTTTAATACCTCAGCGTAATGGGATGTAAACACACCCATCCAATGCATATCAAATGAATGAAATGAACTGCTTTAATAAATAAGGGCTTCAAGCCATTGCAAAGAGACAACAAGTCCAAAAATATTCATTAAGTCATTTCTTCTCACAAATAAGAATTGTGCACATTTCCATAATAAACTGACACCAGAAGTAGCTTTACATTTCAACAATCAACAGTTGTCATCACACTAAAGCTGTTCGGATGATGAGTTTGCCTTATTTCATAACTTAAGAACATTGAAGATATTGTTCACTTCTACTTTGCCTCAAAACCCAGAGTTTGATTGGATTTAAGTGAGGGTTGTGTGTGTGTGTGTTTCATTTGTTCAAATAATCAGCTTAGCTAGAGGAAGATAAAGGCTTGAAATCCAGATCAGACCAGACGAGTGGTTTGGAAAAGAGTCAGTCAATGAGCAAGGCCGAGTGAAGATCAACTCAAGGAAGTATAATCACGAGTCAGACATACGATGTTCCTCTAGAGTTTGATTGTTAATTGTGATGGTGCAAGATAAGTGTTGTGGAAAAACTCTAATTTCCATATTCAAACTGAAGTTTAAGTTGTTTCTGTACAAATACCAAGACCTTGTGAAAAGTATGATGACGTACCAGATTATTGCTTGTATTTGAACTCATTTGCACTCATTGTATGAAACTTGAAAATCAATATATAGTTTTGAAAACACATCAACGATCACAGTGTCGGTGCTGTTTTTAGTTCATTTAATCATGCAACATAAAAATGTACTTTCATTGTTTTGCCGATGACGCTCCGATTAACCTCTCACGTCTAGACAAATAAATACATACATTTTCATCTTAGCAAATATTAATAACCATGTGACGTATTAAATATAGAACAATACATATTATTTTGTTCATTTCGATATAACTCCTTGTTTTCTTTGCTGCCAGATTCAAGCTGTTCGTGGTTCTTGGTTAGGTAAACAGAAAGAAACCGGAGGAGTCTGATTAGCCTCTGTAGGCTATGGTTTTGAAAGATATGCTAAAAACTTGTTCAGCCATGTTTGTTTTTTTCCATCTCGGGAGTACTGCTAAAATTAGAACCATCATGAATCGTAGTGATAGCGAGAGGATTATTTTATGCGTTTAAACTTTAAAACTGGTTAGCTTGTAACTCTTATTTCCTTTTTCTAAAACAGTGGTGAGGAACACCAGGAGCAAATGCCAGGAGTTTAGTTTTTATTAAAAACTATGACTCGTGTGTTCCATGCATGCCATATCAATTGGCTCAAATTGCCTCCCAAGTTACTATATGATTGGTTGCTGACAAGCAATGTAGCATTTAAATGGCTACTTTTTAAAGTGAGTCTGGTGCAGTGCTCACCACATATAAAACACACCAGGGCTCATCACGTCCAGCAAACTTCATGGAGAGAGTCGTGCCTTTTCTCCTGGCGTACAGCATCGTCACTACGGACGACGTTGCCGTCATGCCTGTTTTTCACGTGAGTTTTCTTCCAGCTGGCTGAGCCTAAGATTGTTGGCAGTCTTCCTGTCAGAGGCAGAGCAAACCGGGAAGAATAGCGCCAAACAGAGCAGAACAGCCTCCTGTGACTAATGGAGTCCTCTTTAGCCAGAAACTCATCAGTACATGTCCGTACTGTGTACAGTAAATGTACGTGTGTGTGTGTGTGTAGTCACTGAAACTGTASAGGAGTGCAGGGTCAGAAAGATCTACGGTACGAAATGTGTGTGTGTGTGTGTGTGTGTGTGTGTGTGTGTGTGTGTGTGTGTGTGTGTGTGTGAGAAAGGTCTTCCGATCTCCACATTTCAGAGACTTGTGATTGACATGGAGGCCATAGTGTGGCTCCTGATGGTGAGAGATGGCAGGTAATTGCAGGCTGCTGACTCTCAGACAAATTGCCCGAAGGGGAGTCGCTGCTGTCTGCACTGTCTGTGCTGTCTGGAAGTGTGCTGTCAGAGTTCCTGAGGTGGAGGAACTACATGAATGGAGGCAGCGGTAGGGCTGGAACTTGGATTTAGAGGTTTGCATGTTGAAACAGTGTTTTTCTCCTCTGAAGCCTCATAAGTTCACTTATTTATTTAAATACATATGTGTTCAAAGATGGTAAAAATGTTATATTTCATTTATTTCCTTGCAGGCAATATTAATTAATCCAACGCACATGAATATCATGCAATTTTGTCTCAGTAAGATGCTTTATTGCTTTTGAAAATGCATTTGATCCTATAGTTGAAGTTGCAATAATTCGAATTTTACAATATATGTGACAGGAAATTTTACAATTTTGAATATGAATGAATTATATGAATTATATTATTGGATTATTACCACAGAATTTATGAAAATTAATCTATCTAAAAAATGTCTAGAGCCCGTATTCTACATCATTATATTGAACCTGGTCGCTGCTTTGGAAAAAGAAAGTCAAATCCTTTCACGGTGTCATCTGGGAGAGATAAAAAATGAGTATCATGTACGTTCATACCGTAGACTTCATGTTTTGTTTTGATTTGTGACCAGACCAGCTGCTCTCTGCTCTCTGTTGTCCTGTAAACATTGATGTATTGTGAAGGTGTCCATGAGATGGCAGGACACTTAAATTCATTCATGTGCTTGCAGCATTTATGTGATGTACCTTGTCAAGATGGAGCTATTTTTAAACTACTTTATTCACTGTTAGTTTAACCTGTAACATTACATCATGATTTATAAACTGCTCATATGTTTCTGAACTAAGTAAACTTAGTGGAGTACAATATTTCCCTTTGAGATGTAGCAAAGTGGAAGTATAAAGTAACATGAAATGGAGATTACTTTCCATCCCTGTTCCTTTGTAATAGATATGTGTGGATGTCATGTGACCAACTGGTCCACCTGTCAGCCCTGAGCTAAATCACTGCACAGCAGTCCTCAGCTTTATTCTCATGTGAATGGTTCTCATGCTACAGCTATTATGCTCGTTTACATAATCTAGTCTACGTTTTTGCTGCCAGTATTTCTCGATGGCTGTGTGGACCTGTATTTACGCTGTGCCTCAGTCCATCATCTCATTATTTGTGTCTCATAGACAATCGGTTGTTTGCATTGTGAAATCCCATCTGGTGTGTAACTTTTTCGCCCCCCTAATTGCACCGCGGGTGACATCTAATTGCTCGCAGTTTTAAAATGGAGAAATTATACGTGTTTTTTAATTTACAAGAAATCTAGTCGTATCTTAATAATGCTGTGAAGGGCGCTTTTAACACTGGCAGTTTGATTATGTGGAACGAGACAAAGATACGGCGAGGTAATTTATATCCTGTGTATCACAGGAGCGAGCCCATAGCTGTGACTCTAATTTCAGCAGCTCTGATGAAGTGTTACATGAAATGGATTGCATCCAGAATGCTTCCTGCCGCCAAATATGTCACCAATGTTTGGAAATGAACTGTGGGTTGGTGGGTGGGGGATTCATTAGCTACTTCATGAATACATTATTGAAAACATAGATAATCATGTTAAAGGTTACACATACCCTCGGCTGTTGGCGTCACCCACATTAAGAAAAGGTATATTTATATTTTGCTGTTAGAATCCAATTAGTGTGTCTTCGTCAGCTTGACTGAGATAATAAATACAGTGAAAATAAATGTACGCTGCCAGGAAGGTAATTTGCAGAACTTGATCATTTTGTCTACTGTCGGTCAGCAAAAATACAGAAAGGGATGGTCCTAAAATAGAAAGTGGTACAAAACAATTGCTTCATACTTTATTGAACCCTGACTGGGAAAACGAAATCACGATTATCGTAAAAACACACAGATCATCGTAAACAGCATTCAAAAGGACCGTTTGGTCACAGTTCACCCATATTAAGCAACATATTCAATTGTTCCCAAGCAAACAATGTTTAACATGCAACATAAAGCTTTATCCCGTGTGTTCTGTGTCTATAGGCTTTGAAGCTTTTGGCAACTAAAGCACGCTATTTCAGGCAAGTAAAGTCATTTTTCCGCTTTCTCAGTGTTTGTACAACTGAAATTAGAATTGTTAAGAGCCACTAAATTACAGGAGCTCCCTTTTGTTTCGTTGGCAAAATATTAAAGGATGTTTGAAAGTCTGTTAATTTCTTGCGTGAACATTGTTTTGCAATTCCTGGAGTGAGTGCTTTGCTGCCAAAATCAGACACCGTCGTGAGATGTTCACTAAAAATATTTGATCTTAAGACTCCGTGTGTGAGCGCTTCTCCAGTGAACTGTAACCTGCTCTCTTTACGTCAGTTTGAGTTGTGTTAACTTGAGACGCAACCTTTGGAGGAAGTCAAGCACATGAATAAGGTTTACTTATCTACTTGGCCCATGGGACTTACACTACAGAAAATCTCATTATTTACCAGTGACATGGAGCAGCCTAAAAAAAAGGAAAAGCTCTCCTCATCTCCAGAGCCAGGCCGGCCTTTTAATGTTAATGAGCCACCCACTGCTCTGCTGCGCAGGCCAAGTCCTCGGTCAGCCAGACAAAACTAGGAAGCTGGAGTCCCGATAATGTCACTCAGAGATGAATACAATACATTTCAGTGGACAAAGTGCGATTCCACACAATGTGGATGTCTGTGATAACGACACATAGAGCTACTGTGGCCCGGGCATTAGTGCAGTTAACTGTGAATTCAAGACATACGATGTGTTGTCACCTGATAATTGTGGGCTTGATAATTAATACTAAATTAATGACATTTTTTCTTTCTATTTCTGCTTCATGTAATTTGTGGACTGTTACCTTCTTGCCCTATGTTCACCCATGTATGCACCTCTGACCAGATGAATTTTCTCTCTGGGATAATAAATTCACATTTTACACTTGTTGGGATTTTGTCAGTTGCCTTGTGCACCCTCATTGTCATGTTGGCCGCTCCACTGGAAACGTTCTGAGTATCACGTTCTGCTTGAGGACACACCGACTGAAGTTGTGAAAGCATTACTCATTTATTTTCCACAGGTCTGCGGATTAAAACCACTGACGTTTTGATCACAAGCTGCAATCTCTAACTGCTCGGCAACTGCCTCTGCAATCTGTCACAGAACTGCCTTTAGACCAATATTCTGCAAGATAAAACCTGACTCGCTGCTTTTTAAATCAAAGAGGCCACACAGTTACCTTCATCTCGTCATTATCGCCACTGTGGGAGCACTAAAAACACTGTTCCCTGGAGTCAAAACTTACCCTGTAGCTGTTCCAGTGGTTCTCTATGTAATACAAGTATCACATTACATCAGCTCAGAGTAATTGTCCATGTCACATGACGTTACCGTAAGTCACTTACCTTCTCAGAAAATAACTCTTTATCAGCCTCTTTGTAAAATAATTCAAAACCAAGTTCCTTCTCATGACCCATTGCCATTTTATTCTCAATTTTTCACGTGTTTTTTTTACACATGAACAAAGAGTTTCTCATCAGTGCCAACTTTGTAAAACGGATAATATTTTGGAGCCTAAGTCCTTGTCCTCTGTGAGTCCTAAGTTTCTTACATTTGGCTGCTTCATCTAATTGAATGAATTGACAGCAAGGTTGCGTGCTGATTTAATGTTCTCTCTCTGCCATCTGAGCAGTCCCTACCGCCATGTCTTTATAAGTATGAAAGAGCATGCATATGCACAGCTACTAAAATGGAAATGATCTGATTGTGGGCTTTGACATTGGCGGTTGAAGCCAAAATGGCTGGCCACTTGCTTCAGAGCTCCTCTCGAGTGGAGGCCTGCACTCAGGCCGCTCGATCGAAGCCGAGAGATACTGTTTCCGATCGATGCTCCATGCTCAGACGCTTCTCCAGGAGCATCTCAGAATCTCATCACTCACCTGGCCTACGGCTGACGCTTGTGCTCAAACTGTGCAATTATTTTGGAGGATGTCGATCACGGCTTATACAAGATGTGACATCATTGCTAACTTTGGGAAGGGATCCCCAAGCGGACGGTCCACTTATCTGCTGCTGCTCCTCTCACTTTCTCACCGTCTTCTTGCCCCTACTCTATTATTTATTCACCATTACACATAGCTCAGTGTGCAACAGTCTGCTGTAGCCCTCAGTAAAGCTGAAGTAACTCAATAGTGCAGGGTTCACTCCCATTTTCTGGGAAAGGAGATGTCCATTTAGTGGCAGAGTGGCTTTATTGCAAAAGTAAAAAACAAAACTTTCGTGGTTATCTAAACTTCTGCTCTGCTCTTTTAGTCACTCGGGTAGCTGTTGTTGGGCCAATGTGATGTAACCTTTCAGCTAAAAGAAAACTTATTGCAAAATGGGAAAAGTAGGAAAAACTTAATGTGCAATAACATCGAAGAGCAAAAGGTGATGAAAGTGCTTTGAGCTTCAAACAAAAGCTTTTTCTTTCTCAGATATGTAGGAGTCATTTTCCATGTCATGGCAAACTCTATCACATCCCCGATAGCACGAGAGCGTCAGGCAGACTTCACAACTCCACACGTGGAGTGTGTTGGTACACAGTCCTATGAAGAATCAAGCCATATCTAATTACTGTAACTTCGCCATCCCCTGTGGTATCTGATATGTCTGCGTGAGTGTGAATTTATCATGGACTATTAAACTGTCAGCTACCGCCGCAGGGGCGAATACATTGCATGACGCACAGTAGTGATCATTTGACAAGGAGACAAAAGGACTGAGGGAGTCGAATGGAAGTCAGCTCCACAGGACCTCAGGTAGATGCATTCAAATTGCAGGAACGATTATGAGGCTACATGGGAAATGATGTTGGAAGTGTGATACTGATAAAAAGGCTTCTTTGCTTAAAGTTCACAGAATTGCGATGCTGAATTTTAGATGCTACAGCTAACCGTCGACTGCTAACTGAAGGCCTGTCTCTCGGAGCCGACACCCGCCCTCCTCTAAGTGAAGTAGGCTTCTGGTGGCGGTGACTGCCTGATTTTTTTTTTCACGTTTCTGCCATTTAGGATTTAAACTAATAAACAAACTATTAAATCGTACACGGACCCTGGATCTTCAACTTAATTTTTTTAACGTTTAAAAAAAAAATCAGCAGCGATCTTACACATTGCACCTTTCAGTCAGCGGTGGAGATGGTTGTCTTTTGACCAGTGACAGATGTGAGGTGCACTAAGCAGCACTCTGCTTACCTCAACAGCCGCCTTCGCTCGCTCAAACTCCTCCTCCAGGGACTGATGTCTGGACAGGAGGGCACTGCCCCACCGCGGCTCCTTGGCTAGGCGAGCCTGTCACACACACACACACACACACACATGTTTCATAATGCATATATTCCCAGACAAAATCTATTAAACACATACACGCGCGCACACACATCCACATAGCAGCACTGCACATCACTCACGCCACCAATCAGCCAGAGGGAGAGACAGGCAGGGAGAGTGTGCAGGGTCAGCCGTCTCTGCTTTCTCAGGGACGAGTAAATATCCCTGCCTCGACAAAGCCTCTGACATGCTTAAGAAGGCCAGCAGAATCACTACTGTCAGCATCTCGTCCCACCCCTCATCTGAATGCCATGCTACTCATCCAGCCTCTAGCAATTTCACTCCCTTTTCCGTGCACCTGCACATGCAATGTCTGAACTTTGTTGATAGCCTCTCAGTTACAAACTTGCAGATGAAGAAAGCATTGCTCTAGTGTGAAAATGAAAATTACCCGCATGTGGTTTTGCGTTTTGAGTGCGGTGTAGTTTACATGATTCCACATTACACCTACACATTGAACTGAAGGGTAAAGTATTTTGAGATAGCCTGTCATGCTCAGATGTGATATGGCGCTAGATTTTCTGTAGCAGTGACTGTACTTATGGGGTTAGCGAATCCACAACAGAGACTGAGGAATTAATTCCTCCGTGTCAGTGGCTTCCCTCAGAATGGGCCAGCCAGTACCTGTAACAATTTCCATCTCTACAGACTTCCATTGTGCAAGATTAATTAAGGTTACTTAATCTCATTAACAGACAGTAAATTGCCTAATCCATTCATTCTAGGTAACCATATCTATTTTTTATTTTACAAGAACAAAAATGCATGCACTGTAAAACATCTTACCACATGTACAAAGCTCTTTGCTCTTGTATGATTGGTAAACTCCACCCAAAAACACTCTTATCACATTTTGGTTGTATTTATTTATTTATCTTGAATCCCCCTGAAGTCTGGCATCCTTTGGCATCCTGACAAGAGATTTCCAGTACAGCCATAGTTTAATACCAGAAAAGAATCAGGAACATATTAGCAGCTGATGTCAGGCTCTGGTGCCAGTGTTTCAGAAACGAAGAGAGCTTCTATCAGGACATAAGTTTTTATTTTCATTTAAAGTGGCAATCCTTAATATTTCAGTCCTGGATGATTTATCAATTATATTTGAGTGATAACATTGTGCTTTGAGTTTAGCAGTCTGGAGTCTTGGGATGTGTCTGAAACTCCATACTAACTGAATTTTGTGCATAGTTCCATTTATTGTGTGTATACAATGGAGGAAAACGGTACTACAGCATTTCCTTTCCAGGAATGTCGCCACAGTCACCCAGTTCATAATACTGCAAATATATAAATATTGCAATACTTTCATCAGTGGGCCATAGGCTGTAGTATATGTCATGCGACACACGTTTTCCTTCCTTGCATGCATGAAACTAAAACCGCTCTTTACAGTATCTCTGTCTGCTATTATGCAACTCCTGAGCAAAACAAATTGAGCGTGTTTGTTTGCCAATAACTTCCCTCCGTCTCGGTCAGTTATCTTTAATCCCAGATCTATTATTTATCAGAGTGCTGAAAAGGTGTTAAACTAGCTTGGTGAGATCAACACTAATGGGCTCGGAGTAAGGCTGAGTAATTCATAGGTTCTTAATAATGGCGTCTGGAAACAAGTATCCGTTATGCAAAGCTACACAGAGACTGAGGAGGAAAGCGCTTGACATTTGGACCTTGTAGCACCACAAAGGAACAATCTCAAGGCCGACAATGTATCTGGATTTCGTCGAGGCTGCCTTCTGGCTTCAATAATCTCCTTTTTTTTTTGGGCTTTTAAGTCAGATTCTCTGAGATGGTGATGCTTTTTTTCACGGTGCAAATGTATAACTCTTTCAATAGCATATGAAAGGATGCATAGTCTTACATGTCTTCCACTAATATACTGCCTGTTGAGCTGAAATGGAAGAATTGCAGGTGTTAGGAAAAAAGGATGGGTAAACAATTACTCAGCAGGGTGACTCACTGGAAACAAACTTCAACGTTAAGGGTACGTTATCATGCATTGGCATGCAGTTGCTGAATAAAAAAGTTAAATTCATAATTGCACGAACTCATTATGAGGGTTTAACCATCAGTCAGAAACAATATGTTTGAGAAGTGTGAAGCTTTCTCACTTCACAAGGATGCTGATTTCAAGTGCAGACGGTGCAAATAATAATGAGGATTACTGACCGCTGCTGTCTTACAGAGCACTTACTTGAGATGCTAAAGCAGAATCTGGATCCACTTTGGTATTTGCTTCCAAGGAGTTCTTGTTCAACGGCTCTATTTGGGTTTTACAGTCTATGGACCTAAAGTAGAAGAGAAACAGGTGGTTTACATCATACTGACACACTTGATATGAATACAACGCTTCTGATACTCATGCGAGATGCAGTATCTCAAGGGTACGCTCATAAGATTTCTCTTATGTTGGACCATTCCACAAAAGTCTTGATGATGTTCAGTGCCAATGTTTTTTTAATTTCTACAATATCTGTGCATGGCTACTACGTTAGAGGAAATGTTTGGGAAAGATTGTGGTTACGGCAAATTAACTATGGTTTGGTTAAGGATAGGCAACTTAAACACTTCCTTAAACCTGCAATAATTAAGTATCCGTATGTTGGGAAGCTGTTGCTAATCTAGTGGACATGGAGGAACAGAAGCCTCATTTAGAACTATGTTTCTCAACACATTGCAATATAATTGCCCAGTGAAATATCTGATTCTTTAGCTGTTAAATACTCCACAATGTTCACCAGCTGGTCTCTGTCTACCGTTTGGAGCTTGGCAGATAGCGCACATAATGCCAGCTCAGCAGAATACCTACCACAGAAGCTCATTGGATGAATTTTTAGAAGAACGCCGTCTCTCCAACTTCCATTTTCTGTTGCCATTCCTCTCAGGGTTGATGTTCAGCTCTTCCCATTTATCCAACGTTGAACCAATGGTACCTGGTGACAGTAATAAAGTAATGAAGAATAATACAATAATAAAATCACAAAACACATAATTGGCAACAGAGGCAGTTCATTTGTTGTCAAAAACAACAAAAAGTCACTCTGAAGCTAAAGCTAACCTCAGTCTATTATCTGTTAATCTGGACAAATGCTAATGTGTTTTTAGCTTTATGAAAAAGGAAAAAAAGTACATTTCAATTTCGTCATTAAGCATTAGCACTAATTTCAAAAAGTAACTAATAATGTTTTCCATTAGTTAAAAAGCAAACCTTTTGACACCGGATTGCAACCACTAATGGAGTCTTTCTGATAGAACAGTGAGCTAAAAACAGACTCTAAGTGATGTGAGTGTCTAAATGAAAAACATATGCCCACAATTGTAACAGATGTAAAGTTTTGTTTAAATGATGCCAGAGTTATAATCAATCCTCACCCCAATGAATTATTCACCACACTGTAGTCTGACACAGTCTACATAATTAGTTCTCATTGAAGACTTTAACCTTTTCAACTGGCAAATAGGAAAGTAATTGGCCGTTTCCTCTTAATGTCTTATAAGATGATCCCTTTCATTACAGTAAATTGGCTTGATCCGTCTTTGCCCTATCTTGAATGTGTGCGAGGTCGGTTCCATAGGGGTTGATGGGAGTCTGGGTTGTTGGGTTATTTATGAGCGTGGTGGGAGATTTATGGCTTTTGAGTGAGGTTGTTAAGCTAGCAAGTGTGCAACGACAGGATTTAAGTTTTACCAGCCGTGACAATGAAGCTTTTGTTTTCACCATGTGAGTCTGTGTGTGAGTCATCATGGAAAAATGTGGGTCTGATATTCCCCTGGGCTGTTTTTGGTGATTCCATCGCAAGTTATAGAGTTATAGATTTAGATTTAGTATAAATTCCTCGCTGTACACCTAAGGCACTGCTGCATGCTGTGTGCTGTGTGCTAAGCTATCGGTATACTGAACAGTGACGGATTTAAATTCTTGGTGGTAAAGACACATAAGTCAGTCAGTACGATACTTAGCCGTAAATGCAAGCCATCCACTCAAGCGTATGCGTTTTTAAGTGGTACCAAGTAACTGATGGTTGTTCTGCATCATTCTTCCAAAAGATGGACTTTCTTTTGCCCATAAATTGCACGTTAGCAATGTGTATACTTTTGGCTTCTCTAAAGGATTGTGAAGTATCCAACGTTTACAAGCCGTCTCTACCTGAGTCGAGTGATGCCCTCTCTGGGGTCCTCATGCTTTGTCCTGTCTGTTCAACTTCCACCTGGATCAGCTCTGTCTCATCCGTCTTCTTCCTGTGAGAGTTGTTCTTCTGGCTGTTGCCCCGGGAAGACAGAGGGCTCCTTTTGTCCTTGCTGGTCCTCCTTTCGCCAGGTTCACTGAGATCCAGCAGGTCCAGTGTTGAAGATAGCACTGTGAGGGACATGACAGTAGTTTAGTTAAACCAGCTGTGCTAATAAGTGGCTGGTATTGTATACACCCTGTGAGTCCGTTTGTTTGTGTCAAAATGTGTCCTGGAGGAACCTGTTGTAGTGGGAAGTACCACAGGAGAATACTTTTTCAGGTGTTTAATATGTCTGTGGACTGATTTTGGCGTCACAACCGTGCAAGATGCAGGCACGAAACATTACAGTGTGAAGTTGAGATCAAAGTGAAGGCCGAGTTCAAAGATGGGCGTGGTCCACGCAAGTGCGCCGGAAGAAAGGGTGTAGGAAGTGAGGAATTTCTGAATGAAAGTCATCTGGGTGATTTTTGTTCTTAAATATTAGATAATTCAGCGATCATTGTGTTGTTTGGATGTTTTGCGATTCTTCAGCATGTATTATATTTTGAAAACTTTCCTTTCTCTTCATAATAAGATAGAACGACGGGTTTTCACTTATTGTCCTGCTTGAAGCTTTGATTTTAATCTACACATTTTCTGACACTGCGAGTTGAGCTGTCAAAGGTACTTAAGCTGTCACGGTATTTCCCGCCGGGTGGACATCTAAAAAAAATGTACTGCTGCTCTTTTCAGAGAATCAAAGTATACTCCAGGTCACTGCACAGTCTGGTAAGGATAAGGCAGCCCCTTGAGGAGCTCCAGTTTGGTCAATTAAGTATTTCAATCGCAGGTTGTTCGAGCGGCAAAGAAGGACAGAGCCTTCTGTCAAAGAGCTCAACTTTTGTCTGTGATGTCGTCTTCATGACTGCAGACTCTGAGGTGATTCCCAGTTTCAACATAAAAGAGAAGAATATTTGGTTTGAGTAATTATTGTTATAAATTCAAAACCTCAGGTAATAGCAGAATGTAAGCTTTCTCATTATTTTTTAGTTTAAATTTGATTGTAAATCAATTCCTTATCACTTTTCTTTCACATCTTGTTTATTGAATATTTTCTGTATTAGTAGTTTGACTTGTAGTTCGAGTCAAATGGGCAGTGGGCTCGCTGCGGCTGCTTATGTGCTGCCAGTGTTTGCTGTGACTTTCAGACTGCATCCTTTTGCATGAGGACAGTTCCTCATATGTGAATATCTTCCCACTGAAATAAGTAAATAAATAAATAAAACGAACGCAAACAGGGTGAAATGCGGACAAGGAGCCTAATGTCCGGTGATGTGTTTCCTCTCATATCATTGTAATGGGACATTTGTGTGAAGTGCATTTTTGCTGCTGGTCATTAATTTCTTGCCTCAAAGGTTAACATCATCATATCTTCTAAATGCATAATACACATTACATTACATTGTCAGTGCAATGCACACCAAAGGCCCATCTAGAATGTTTTTCTATGTGAACATGCAATCATTGTGTAGTTTCTAATGATCTTTTTCATTGCCTCCTGACTTTTACGAACCAATGTCAGTGAGAAACATTGTAAACCAAACAGAAGGGATGGCAAACGTTGTTATAAGAGGCTCATAACCCCAGTTAAACAGCATTTTTATGCATTGGTTATTTGAGGAACCTACAAAGTTTTCTCACTTATTTCCCAGGACCCTGGCTGTGTCCTTTGTGCAATGCGAGCTCACTACAAACTACAAACACATGACTGCATAATTGGCATGCCGCTGTTTCATGACAACCAACTGAGCGCATTTGTTGACTGAAATCTCTGTGTAATTAGAGAGTATGCTTGTCTTCCATGCCTTGTGCTCTTTAGATGGCGAGTACAATTACAAATCAAGGGAGACACACTCGTGGGGAAGGTTGCCTGAAGAGTCTTCAGCACCAAAAGGAAACACAAGCTGTTCGTAAAAAGGCAATGATGTCAAAAATGTTTTGGCACCCTTGAGTCTGTACTTGAAATGATGAGGCTGGGAAGACAATCGCACAAGTTTTCCTCATCAACTGGATATTTCAACGGGATGCTCGTATACTGTATATCAATCAAATGAGTTGCTCTGGTGGCCAATGGACTGAAGGCGAGCAAATAAATATGATTGCTGAGCATTTTAGTCGAGTTTTTAGGTTTTTAGCTTCACAACATGATGGAAACAAAAATGATGGGGTCGTGAGAAGGGGAAGGACATAGATTCTGATATGACCTTTGTGAGTCAAACCTCTTACATTAGTATTAGAAGTGTTACTGAGTTAACAAGACACTCTAGAAAGTTTTCTGCAGTTAATAGTTGCAGGTTCCTGTTAAAAAGTCACAGTAATGGTTGAAACAGTGGGTCCTTGACTTCTGACAGAAAGAGACAAAAGCAGGCTTCTCATTTCTAGTCAATACTTGTTGAATTTGTCAAATGAAATGACAACTAGCAGATTTGATCATCTCTAGCTCTTAGAATCAGTTAATCATTCTTTGGTTTACTAATTTTAATACAAGAACCCAAATGATCTACATTATCCTATTTCCAAAATGTATTTTTCACGTTTACAAGACAAAACGGTTTGACCAGACAATCGCTGTTCAGGGTACGTGCGCTGCTAATGGTCTTTTGGATGTTTCCAATTTCCAATTTAACATTTAGCAAACAATACGTTTCAAGAGAGGAGAGATCGATCACTAAAATCTCAAGCAATCAATTGTGTTTAGGTGAATTCAAAGGTGAGAACCATTATGTCTTTAGAGTATTCCTGTGAATATTGAACCGGCCTGTCGGAGCAAAGAGCTGACAAAAGAAAGAAAAGATTTTTGGGATTGAGTTTGAAGGAGAGCGGATTCTCTGCAGCGAGGGGCTGTTGATGAGAGGCTCTCCTTGATGAAATACGTTTCGGTCTTTGTTGGCAAATAAGTACTGATGAACACCCTCAACAAAGTGGGAAGGGCACAGCAGTGTTATTCCTTAGGGGCAACCAGCCGATATGTTTTTATCATTTTATTAATTACATTTTAAATTTAAACAGACATTTATTTGACTAGTGTGTTTATAAACCTCAGATACCCATAAAAGCATTTTATAATTTATGATAGGGTTTTAAAAGTTCCTTCAACCTCAAAATCAGACAAAAGTAAAACTGCCTGCAATAGAGAACACAGCATGGTGTAGGGCTCATGTAGATCAGCATATTTGAGCTGGTAATTATCATTCATTATTTATTTTCTTTGCTTGCTAATTCCTGTTTAGTGATATTCAGTGCCAGTCCATCACAGTATGAAAACAGATCAACAATCACACCTCACATTCTCTTCACCTGCATGTCTTTAGACTGTGGGAGGAAATCAGAGCAGCTGGAGGAGACCTCTTACTTTTAGAACTACTCGGCACTGATGATTTTATGTACATGGATTTGCGTATTAAATGGCACATAAATCAACAATAACACACAAAGACTATATATTAGACAGGATCTGACCATTTTTGGAATTTCGAGGTGCATAACCAATTATTATATTAGGCCTCCATCATTGCCAGCGGAAGCGGCAGGAGGCACTGGGGAGACAGAAGGTTTAGCGGTCCCCACAACATCCACCCATAATTGGCCCGCCTGAATCGGCACAGTCAGTGGCCGGTGTGGTGATGACACATGTCAGCTGTGCAATCTGGTTCTGCAAATCGTCATTCAAATGATGGTACAGCTCAGTGATCAAGGTCCCATCCCCATGTGGAAACCAAGATGGCCCTTTTACTCGGCATCTGTTAAAGTCACCTAACCCTAACCCAACACCTACTTTGACCCGGTTCATTTTAAGTTTATTCATTGTCGGGATGAAAAGCTTGTGATTAATAAATAACGTACAGTAGTACAGATATACTCAGGGAAACACTCTTGAACTTAAATTTCACATGTGCTCCACTGATGCTTCAAGTAAAATCTGATTTGCCAGTTTGCGCCAATGCTTTGAATAGTAGTGGGTAGGGTGTGGTGCACAGTAGGCTATTATTATCGTTGATGTATTTTTATCTAGAATTATGATTCATACTATGTAATGCATGGCCTCTGTGCAGTTACAATATGTTGGGCTGTAGTGACCTAATGACAAGTTGGTGTATTCATTAAAAACAAAGTGCAACAAAAGTGCAATGGAAACCCAGAAATAAATGATGACATTCGTGAAATATGAAACAAACGGATATGCGTTTTCTACATTGTTTTCCACCGTTTGAGGTTTAACTCTCTCTCTTTTAATTTCATCCACTTTTTCTGCAGTGGTTTAATGGCACAGGAATGTCAGGGCAACCAACTGTTTTCTTGATGCTGATATTTGCATAGCTGTAGTGGATGGAAGCAATCATTAACATTTTATTTAGCTGATTTTCTGGAAATTTGATTAAAATTTGCTCCACATTTAAAAAGTCTATGTTTTTCAAAGGCCTGAGTTGTTGAAAACAGTTGTCACAGATTGACTTCAATATTAATTTTCTTCTAAATGTGTATGTATATATATATATATGTAGAGAGAGAGAGAGAGAGAGAGAGAGAGAGAGAGAGAGAGAGAGAGAGAGAGAGAGAGAGAGACTCTGTTTTCACGTCAACTGTTAGACGGACCTTTTTACAGATGGAATATTGAGTGTACCGTACCAGCTGTGTTGGAAGTCACTGGGCGGGAAACCCCATCACACTTGGTCTCGCAGAGGAAATCGTCGATGGAGGGACTTAAAAGCGGGCGGCTCTCTTGTTGCTCACTCACCAGCTGTAAGGGCAGACAGACAAGACAGTTCAGGCATGAAACTCCTATCACACAAGAGTCCCTGGTATGTTAACATGAAGTGAAGTTCAGTCCTTTTGGGCATGATACAGGTGACACCAGTGTCCCCATACTGACACATCTCTGATGCGCAAATGTCTTTCAACATGTCTGTGTGTCGTTTTAGGAAGATGGTACACGTTTGTGCTCCTTTGCAGCACATCATTTATTCACAGCATCTTGACATAGATGCACTGAAGTGATTCAACTGTCAGATGTCAGAGATGTTGCAAATTTTTTAAGAGTTAACATCAATGTAAGGCTGAAAATTAGACAACGTTTTTTACTTGGACTGTAATTACCTGTAGTCTTAACATACAGCTGGTGTGCAATGAGACATCTCCCAAACCCCCCTACCATTTTGAAAGTTGTTGTTTTAGTCAAACTTGATTGTAAAGATCCTTCACACACAACTCTCCCATCAAAGGTGCAATCAAAGAGATCTCTCCTTGGTTTTTCGTGTGGTGTTGCAAAAAGTAAGTTGGACAGGAAATAGCCAGGCTAAGGTTGTAAACACAAACTGCAGGAACTAGCATGGCTAACAACATCATTCTACAAGTTGTAAGTTATGTGACTTCTTATCAAATCAATTTATTGTCATTAACTTCTATCACTGTCATGGCACTTACTACAGCCAAAAAGCATCCCTTTGTCTCCGCTGCTTGTTTGATTTTGCCATCCTTTGATATAAATATGAATAAAAACAATCAATATTTTCTGAATAGGTGGTCAATCCCACCCCATCTTTTAAGCTGGCTGGACATCGAAGAGCAATTTCAATCAGATTGAGTCCGAGCGGCCTTAACTTGTTACCAGAAGCGGATACTTGAACGAATGAATGGGGAGTTAAATGTACTGTTACCGCGCTTTCAGAAGCGGCCTAATCAGGCATGATAAGTGAAAACACCTGTGTGAGATGACCATAGGTGTGTAGGGCTGTTACTATTTAAGATTCTACTTTTTACTTTTTACATACAAGAACATGCAAATACAAACATCTTCCATCCCTCTGCTCTGCTGTTGCAGTTATATTTTCCTTGTTTCTGCTCTGAAAGTCTTTTACATGCAGATATATGAAGGACAACCCTGTTATATAGGCAAGTGTACACAATTAAGTAAACTGGGTCTCTCATTTACAATATATTTAAGAAATCTGTTTACTACAGAAAATGAAGACTAGGTTACCTCAGTGCATTAGCCCCAGTCATTGAGAGAAGTACTGAGATGAGCTGAGAGAAACCTGCTGGATCCGTCCCAAACAATAATTGTTGACCATTATTGTCTGTCTCACCTTCCAAACCATGAAAATGCAAATGACGTTGCCTGTGATGCACTAATTTGTCGGCTTGCCTGTGCAGCTGCAGAAAAGGATCCAATTCATTATTGGTGCCACGAAGCCTCGATGTTCCAGGTGCAGCTGGTCACAATTTACCAACCAATGCTTTTATAATTTGGAGGTAAAAACCAGTGTTGTCTCTTAGAAAGGGTAAGCCACCACCACTTCTGTCCACCTGCGTATCGTGTATGCTGGCGGCGAGGAAACATGACATTTGTTATTGTAGCTCTCCAGGCCATGATCGCCAGCAGAATTTAAATGAAGGCGCCATAGTTTAATTACCAATCATGGAATGGACAGCACACAACCTGCCATATGCTTTATATATGAAAGGTGATGAAGCAGGTTTTCCTGTCATGTCTTCACTGTACCTGCTAATACAATTACAAATGTACAGTATATCCATCCTGTATTTAACACATGTTTAGTTGATGTTGGCTTTACGCCCTGGTTATTTGGGGTTCCACAGACCCCACAGATGTATATGTAAAAATATTAGTGATTGCAAAAATAGTTCTTCCTTAAACATTTTTTGCTTTTCTTCTGACCTGTAAAACTCGATATGTAAGTGGAAACAAACTGGGATGCACGTGAAATGACCATGAAACATAATTACACCAAGTAAGGTAATATTTCATGTTTTATATGCTTTCTGCCCTATGCATGAACAAATAAACAGTTGTTTCTGTCATGTAGCCTACCCTCAATGATATAGATAGGTTGACTAAATAAAAGTCTCCTCTAAAATAAACCATAAAGTTAAGTCCACACCTCGCAAAAACAACCCCAAAACACCTTATAAAGGTAGGATTTCTTGCAGGACTGTTGTTCTAGACAGCATTAGTTTTAGCTAGATGTATCTAATAAAGTCGCAACTGAGTGTATATTACTTTAGTTTTTAAAATAGTAATTTACAGCAATGTAAAGTCTGTTATACAACACAGGGAGGTTAGTTATGTTTGGGGTCAATTAGACACCAGAACTTTAGTGGACTGACCTATAAACAAACTTAAAAAAATAAATGAAAACGGATATCCACATTGACTTGGGATTTGGGAGTCCTGGCTTTGTGTAAGATGTGCACACATAGATCTGTTGCGGTCTTCAGTTTAGGTGTGTTTGCAAGCAATTCTCATAACTTTGTTTTAGCATTGTTCAACTGTTAAATGGCACCAGGCTTAAGCTTCAATAAAAGAGAAAACTAATTATAATTCATGATAAGGTGGATTTCATGAATTTTGCTTCATGCAACAATAGAAATGTTTCTTTAACAATGGAGATGATGATAACTAGTTTGGAATATGATTCAATATTTGCTGCACAAAAGAATAAAGAAGAAACTTTCTCCGCAGCCAGAAAACCTTTGAAAAAAGTACATACTGTAAATAATATCCAGAGAGGGGACATTACTTTGTGGAGCAGGAGTTTGTGCTGCGCTACAAGAACGCTGACCCAGCATAGGTAATTAGAGTTTGTGCTGTTGTGGTGTCAGAATAAAACTTTGGTTTGCAGGAAGTCTCACAGTGTGAAGTGACCCGATTTCCCCCTCAGCTGCTGCCGGCCCATGCATTTTCCCCCAATGTTGGAACGCAGCGACAAATCATAGGATGAAAACATACCGTAGCAGTCTCGTTTTTAAAGGTCGACTTTATCCAGTGTTTTACGGTCGACGCTGGGAACTCTGAGTGACGGCTGAGCCACCGGTGACTCGGTTACACATTCATCTTAGTTCTGTCAAAGAGGTTGATGCCTCATTTCTTCTTGACTTCAAAACTTCATAAAACCTGAATAATAACCACTCAACTGTTGGCCTTTAATGGAAGAAAGGAATTATTTCAAATGGCTGCTGCTGCTTTAATTAATTAGATGATTTTTGCCCACATTCAACAGCAACACTATACCGATTAAAACACCACCTGAAGCCAACGTCGAAATGATGAAACTGACAGACCCAACGCTGGCATCGAGATGAGAGAAGCCTCTGCTTGTCATTCAGAGAAAACAAAAATGTCAGCATTCATCCGCCCTGCTATTATTATGCAGCACATCAAAACACTTTCTCCCTTTTAGCCAGCGTGTTTGTGTTTGTTGTTGTTGTGGATGAGAGAGGGGTACAGTGGTCTGGCTCACTGTGTTATGTGTAGACTGCTGGGTATGTTTTTCAGAAAACTGGCTTCTTTTAATCTTTTTGAATATTTCATAACATGTCTGGCAGGTGTTCGGATCGGATACTTGTTTGTCGAGACAATTAGAGAGGGAAGTAATTGATTAGTCTCATTGAATTAAAAATAACCTGCATTAATTTTAATAATTGATCAATTGTTTTCTAAGCAAAGATTCAATACTTCAATGTGTAAAATCTGCTGACAGAGGAATCAAAAAATATCACTCCTTATGATTCCTGTGTCCCCTACAGTAATGGACTGTCCTGGTCCTGGAATTATGATTTAAAAATGATTATTAGGTCTGTTAGTGCTTTCAGATCTATCAGTGATCTTCTTAAATATCAATTAAATCAAATACAAACTACTACATTGCTTTGCACAGCGATGTAAAAAAATATATATTCTGTATTAGAGACATTTCTCTGGTTTTCCTGAATTCAACAAATCAAATGTAGCTTCATCCAAACAGCTTCTCAGCTGACTGGTCCATTCAACGTCAATGCCAGCTGAGCTGTATAAATATAGTGTACTCTTGTGGAGACATGCGACCTGAAGACTGGAGGTGGAGAATCTGTTAACAATGGATATGACATTCATAAATGTGCATGTTAGCAGTGGCTGAGTGGAAAATAACCAGAGAAACATCTGTCAGTGAATAAACAAATGTGTGATGCTTGTGAAGCATCTTTTGGGAATATCTGAGAGTTACAGTCTGCATTAAATGAGGGGAACTGTTAAAGCCTGTAGTCTGTGTGAAAACTCTCCGAATGATAAATTACCTTAGATTCATCCACTCTTATTACTTTAAGTCGTTGTTTGATTATACAGCTGGTCTATAAGGCTCCAGAATATTTTTTTTATTGCCACCATCAAAACCATCAAAAGTTCAAATTGTCATCCTTTTACTTTGTGATAAACTGCAACCAGCCTTATTGTTATTACGAGAACATGATCTCTGGCACAGGAAGCCGCTGCTTTACTAACTGAATGATGCATTTTTATAGGATTATAAACTGTTGGTGCGTGTTGTAGTTTTTAGCCACACTAGCAGCTCGAGTCGGTCGGTTGATCGCTGTACCATGGTTTGCCATGAAATGTTGGTGACTTTTCCTCTAGTGCTGCTATGATGTTGACATTTGTGTTTGTTAGTTAAATGTGTTCACAATTCTTGGATGGAATACTATGAAATTTAGACCTTCATGGTCAACATATAACTTCATCCAATACTTTGGATTTAATTAGAGCCAAATGTTTGCAAAACTTATCATATTTACTAATTCCCTAGTGACAACCTCAGCTTCACAGTTAATACAGCTAATTAACAAATGTTAGCATGGCAACATGGTAAACCGAGATGGTGAACAGATCAAACATAATACGTGCAAAACATTAGCATGTTTGCATTGTCATTGTGATCATGTTAGCATAATGACGCTAACATTTAGCACAAATCACTGCTGTATCCGAGTACAGTCCGACAGAGCTATAGGCATTGCTGCAGACTTTTAAATAACGACTGACTGAATGAGTGACTTATAATTGGTCGCAACTAATAATTGCAAAAGTCAGATTTCATTCAGGATCAAGGATGCGACTGTACATCACCATCGGCAGTCTCCTGATGAAGGACACTGTACTATCTTCACCGTACACTGCCCGGTCGCTGTTTTTATAAGCACTTCCTGTGATTGCCATCGGGGCCTACTTTAAATAAAGATCTACAAAAGATGAGACCTCTGCATTTTCCTCTTCTAATCATCTGAAAAATGGGGACAGAAGGTCTACCGCATTCGTCTGGGGAGATGCATCAAGCACTTTGGTAGCTGGTAACATGCAAACGCCAATTAACCAAGAGAGCAGCTTCCTGAGCTGTTTGCCTATTACTTTCACTACAAGGAGGTTACCGTTTTCCCCTTCTGCCTGTTTTCCTCCTTTGCTCCCCTTCTGCTCTAATTTTTTGCTCATCTCCTATGCAAATCACTTTGGCACTTTGTTTGCTTTAAGGAGTGCTGTAGAAAATTATGTAATGGAGAACTTGAGCTAATTGTGCCGCTTGGGCTTGACTCCAAGAGATCTCTCAGATGTTGCTGTTAATGGAGACGTGTACCAGTTAAACTTGTCAGAGCTTTGAAGGCGTGGAGGTCGAGGTGAGGACAGCAGGAGGTGGAGAGAATGGAAAACGCGACACAAAGGGAAAGGTGGATACAAAATATCAAAGCAGAGGCGAGAGTAATACAGGCTATGTTAGGGATGGTTGTCTTGAGAAACAATTACAGCCAACTTCTTTCAGTGTGTTTAGTTCACGTGGAATATGATGTGATCAGGAATTACATCACATTTAACTCTTCAGAATCTGTATTTTTCAAAAGCAAAATTGTATTTTCCAAAAGCAAAATTGTATTTTCTTTATTCTGATATATCTTTGAAAATGTTCTCTGTAATGCAGCTGGTTGTTTACTCATTACAGCTGTGTGAAAGCTGTTGTTGTGGGTGGCAATGAACTGTTCCATGTACTCCCACGGGCCGGTCTACTGGAGGTCAGTTAGCTTGGTTGGGTATTTTATGACTCATGATGGCTTTACAAGATTTGTCCTCAGGCCGCAGAATTTGAAGACTGAATTTTATATTTAATGTGTGTTTCACTTTTCTCAAAGGATAAGGGTGGCATTATTTTGTATTCTCTTATATTCAGCAAACCCTATGAAAAGACCAAAATCAACAAAGCAGTAGTGCGTCTCTTAATACTTTCCAGTTTCCCTGCCCTGTCTGTGGCACTCAGCCCCAAGACTGATTCCTACTGAACATTCAAATCCTGAAAAAACAAATATATCACAAATATATAGTTTGTTTTCTAAAACAGCTGGGCACTGTAGTTTTTTGCAAACATTACTCGACCAGGAGGGAATATTGCATTTGTTGGGAACAATTTTTAGCTGCGTATTAATACACATTTGGTACATTTGTAAGTATTTATGGCAACAGAACGATGTGGTATTGCCTCAAAATTATATATACTGTATATAGTGCCCATGTTTGTAATAAAAGAACATGTCACCCAGTAAAACAGTGTGGCTTATTAATACGATATATCAGGCTTTGGCTACACAGAAAGTCTTTTCATGGGATTTGTTAAAAATATGAAAAATATAGTATCACAAGATTTATACTTTAAGCAGCAAATCAATTTCACATGCACTAATACACTCACAGTAATGTGTGGTTTGGTTAAGTCCAAATGAAGTGATGGGAATGAAGGAACGATAAACTCTTAGTATAATAGTTTTGCCTGTTATTATAGATAAATAGTTAGGCGTAGCCTATAAACAATGTCTGATGTTCATGCTGCTTCCTTTAAGGTTTTCCTCATCTTCTCAGCTCGGGCTAAGCTCAGACCCCTGACTCTGTAGAAGCCTAATGAGACATCGTATGTGATATTTGGCATTACAAATTTGACTTGACATGATATGACATCTGGCGTGAGGAGCCACAGCCTGTCGCTTAGCCTTTCTCACTTGCTAGATGGGACACAAGATGATGGGATGGGACACGCTGATGGATGGGACACAAGATCAAGATGGGACACGCTGCCTCTAAAACTGCAGCCTCAGCCACTGGAGAGCACTGCAGCAATCACGAGTTGTGTCTGGCCACATTGAAGCAACGTCCACGATGAGCTTAAAACTGCAGTTGCTTTTTAAAATCTTGTGTTTGTTTTCCTAAAAAAAGGGGTTTAAGCAAAGCGATACAAAACAAAGTGAGAAGTGACTTATGGACTTGGAAATCTAGAATGATGAAAATGGAATTCTTTACATAAGAAAGAAAAACAAGCAAGTTATTTGCTTTACTCAGTTCGGGCATGAAATATTTACCAGAGAGTGGTACTACAAAGCAAGTTAGACAGAGCCAGGCTTTGTTCTTCTAAAGCCTTAGTCGAAGGTAACTGTTACCACGATGGTGGTTATCAACTTGCTTTGGTAACCCCGGCTCTCTCAGGCTCTGCATGTTTTTATAAAAGAGAGTGTACACTCCCTTGACACACACTGGACTGATCGTGTGCCGCCTACTTCCGCCGATGTGAAACACTTATTACAGCAAAATGCAACGCTGTTGCTGCAAATGACGAGGCAGGAGAGGTATGCTGGCAGAAGATTAATAACTGTACATTTGTGAGTTTATATATTTATTTTATAGCTCAATGTTCTCGATACCGAGTGTATTTTTCTAACAACAACTGTACATTGTACAGCTCTTAAAGTTAAACTTGATGCCGCTTAACGTCATACTGAAGTATTGCATTTAGGTTTGACTTTATCCTGTAATGAAGGATACCAAATCAAAATGAAATTAATTTTATAATTTAATACTATCTTCTGATGAATACCAACAGACTAAGACTAAACAGAAATGCACCGAATTCAGGTGAAGCAGATCTTTTATTTAAATCTTATTTTGATGCAAAGATTTGCATATTAGCATAAACGTAGCACAATGTCATTGTTAGGGCCAGGCAGCTAAAATCCATATCAAGCTAAATGACCTGATTTAGCCTGATAATGACAAAAGTAACAACAATTATTTAGCGCATACATTTTCTTTATTGTGTTTGCTCACCTCTGATATGTACGACTGGGCTGTTAGCTTGTTGGTTGGTTCTGGTTAAATGTTATTGGTCGTTGTAGCTGTTATCCCTTCACAGGCAGTAACGTATGACAATTATGCGTAGATGATGTTAACAACTACAAAACATGCTTCATAAAACGTGACGTGTCTGGTGACATTACTCAGTGTAATTTGTGGATAATAGATGTCAGAGAACACCTTGACTTTTTGCAGCAGCTCATCTTTCTCAGGTATTACTTGACTTTTGCGAATGAGTTTCTAACTTGCTCCTTTTCTTTGTCTGTGCGGCTGTGGAAACCATCACTGTATGAGCTGCATGTGTTTATTTCAAACAGACCATAATGATAATGAAAAGTCATTACTGTAATTCCTGTGAACCGGAGGATATTTCCTGGGAAACTGCCGTGCTGTCGCTCCCTGAAAACCTTCATGAGCTGGATAATGGTTCAATCACTGTTGTGCTGGATGTGCTCATGTACGTGTTTATGTTTTTCTCAGTTGATGCTGTCTCTGTATTCTCTCAGGGATGACAGTATTGATATTTGCAGGTGGTAAAATGTTGGTAAATGGCAAATATCGATCTATTGTCCATAATATTGATTTTTTTTGGGACACTGCAGCATATCAAGGGCCTAGAATTGATTGCAGAAAGTTATCGCGGAGGAAAGCTGTCCTTCAATGATGTTTTCTTACCATTTTATAAAGACATTTTTTTAAATGATGAATTATGACAAATTATGATTTACACATTCAACAAAATTACCCATATTTAAAAAAAATAAACAAGTCATATCTTGTTAGTGTGAACTCAGCAGCTTCCATCTCTCAGCACAAAATGCTGAGGCATAATTAAATCCCCTCCACTTGAGTGGAAGCATTATCTTGATTGTGTGACAGCTTATCAGCATCAGACATTGTATTAGAACATTGAACAAGTATAAAGCATGCGACAGGTCATTAAACACAGACAGATATACAAGAGGACACACACACACACACACACATACACACTGTACAAAAAGCAATCAAGCACAGAGCAAGAAAACTCATATTGGCATCTAGAGCACCGACTGCATCTAGCTACAACATTTAAAAAGCAAAAGAGAAGTGAAAAGCTCAGCAGTGGGTACAGTCATTTGCTGCAGTATTTTGTACACAGAGAGCTCAATCAATAGCTCCATGCCATGCCGTGTGGCATAGCTTTTTGGAAATGCATTCACACGCTGTTTGTGAGGATTAGCTGCTTATGAGGTGTAAAAAGTTCATGAGGGGTTTGTTTTTTTTCTGTCCTGATTAGGAATGAGAGAGGAAATTTGTTAATAAATGTTAACTAGAAGAGCACCATGAATCTTTCAGAGGCTAATTTGAAAAGATAAAAAGTACTGTGGATAATTGCAGCAATTTCAGGCTGCTTCTATATATCATAAGATCATTATTCACTGTTTGTGTAAATGTAGTGATGTAGTAGGAGGGTTTTATACCCCATAGAGCAGCTGGAAATGAAATATTTGTTGCGTCTTTGTTAGATACAACAGTCAAAAAGCTTAAGAAATGAGTTAGTAGACAGTGGAGGTCAGTTATAGGACACTCAAAGCTTTGCTATTGTTCAGCATGACTAACACAGGGGGGCGAGGGGTTTTCTGAAATGGTTCTGCCCACCTTGGTAGTCACTGTGAGGAGGGGCTTCCCTTCTGATGACGCCTTACTTGGTATCTCCTTCAGGACCATGGCAACAGTCTTATCTGCAGCCCTAGAGTCTTTCCCCTACAACAGTGAAATCAACAATGACTTGTGTCAGGACAGTTTGACAACTCAGTGCTTTTTGCCCCCGTCCGGGGCATCTTACAGACAAAGACTTTACCTTATGATGATGGAAATACTGTGCGGGTAACTGTCTACGGTAACAACACATCAACTGAAGACATTTCCACAAGACTATGGCAATGAAAAGAGGGTCACTGCACAATGTAGAGGGTTGACTGTAGACGGTGATGAGCATGGTCGTCCACAGCAGTACTTATCAAGTACTTATGATGACAGAATATCATACAGAGCTCATTACACAGACCACATTATTTACTAAGAATGATGTACAGTGTATCAGATGAATGCCCATGTGTACTGGGCAGCTGACCGGTGTAATGCTTGTCGGGTTGTACTCCTCAAAGCTACATTAGACATGTTGGAATCACAACATAGAGGTCAGTGAAAGGTTCAAACTTGAGTACCGAAAAGTCATGTGATGAACTGCAGACAGTACTCAGGAAGAGGAGCTAATACTGCTCGCTTGTTAAATGTACCCTGTTGAGTTGATGACTGCTTGTAGTAACATGAGTGATGCGATATACATGTCCACTAATCTACGGGTGGCGGTACAGCCCTAAGACTCGCGTACCAGCAAACCGGAAGAAGTAGGTTGCTAGCAAGTAAACATAAATAAAATCAATGACAGTTTTGCAAAGCCAAGTGGCGTTTTGGTTGGTAGCACTGAATGCGGACATTGTTTTGATTCGTGAAAACACCAATGGGTACCTTAAGTTTCTAATGATCACAGAACATTTCATACCAGTGATCATACCTGAAACTGAAATGTATTTTTTGGGAGTGGGTGATGAAGGGATGGTTTTCAGCACACATTGCAGTTATACTTTGGGCTTTGGCCAAGTATACGTGTACCAAAACTAGGGATCCATCGATAGCAGTATCGGGTATCAGGCCCGATACTGCGCTCCTGTACTCGTACTTGTAAAACTACTCTGAATACAAACGCACCCAATAAAAATGTGAAAGTGAAAGCGTATTTTCTAAACATACCTCATTGCCACATATTTAGGTAGCATTACTGTTGTAATATGAATACGGACCTCTTACTTTAAGTACTAATTAGACGCCCTTAAAACTTCTATTTTTTTTATCTTTCAAACGTATATATTTGACAATAACTTCTTGTTACTTTTTGTTCAAAGGCAGCTGCATTATCAAAATGATCCCCCATTGCGAACTGCTGCTCTACTGTATAAGGTTTTTAGTCAACAGTAGTGATATGATGACAGTGTTAGTCCACAACTACAAAGTAATGTGACCTTTACAATTCCCAAACTTACCCTCTGACACACACAAACTGCCCCGCCCTCCGTCTACCACCCACAGCCCCTCATCGCTTTAAGCTTTAATTGCCAAGGCCACATTACATAACAGTAAAAATTGATTACACAAGAGGTCAAATAGATTTTGCCAGCCTATTGTCATCCTTTTCACCTCGGCTTTATGTTAGACACGGCCAGCCTCAGACATTTATTCACTTCGCATTTTACCCATAGCCAGAAGACAGAATATACTGTTCGCTATTAATCATTTTATGACACACATTTCATCAGAAAAGAGCTCATCCTCTTGCAATTAAATTTGCTGACCAGTGAGAGAGATGAAACTGCTGTTCATCACTTTCAGTTTCTACGTTTTGTAGACTCGTACATGCTGCCTCTTCAGACTGCACATGAAGCCCACTGAAAGCCTTTTAGCTGGATCTTTTTTAGGGCTTTTCACATTTCCACTTGCCAGAAAATTGAATTGGGCATTTCTTCCACTGATTTCCTCAGATGATCATGTAACAAAATGCATTTGCCGCGCCTGGGGGGAGTTCCCTTGAAATCCTAATGCTCCTAATAAAGTCCCAAAAGCCACCTGCGCCCACACTCTAGCTCGGTCTCACTCAGTATAAATGAACAACATCCTTTGCCAAGACGACACCAGCCGCAAAGCAGCATTCACGTGGCAGGAGATGATTCAGAAAAGCTCTAAACATTTGTTTTTAGTTTGTTTTTCTGAATGGCAATGGATGCAATTTGAAAAAGCGATGAACGTTCCCTCTGTGCCGTATGTGCAGGTGTTGTGTTAGCCAACAGTGTCTAGGATGTGTTTCACCCGGCACACACTCGGTTTGTATTGCTTACAGTCTTGGCTTGCCTGCTGTGTTGTTTGGTGTCAACTTTTGCAAAACTGGATCTTATTTTTCTAGGAATTATTACGGATTTATTTAGCAGTACACTGCCGTAGGCAGTAATCGAGAACCTGATACTGTAACTTTTATTTATTTATTTATTTTTAAACTTGTTTTTGCTGTTTGAAACCCTGACAATAAGATAATTACGTGCTCAAAATAAGGAGACTTTAGGCTTTCTTCATACCAAGCGTGAGACTTGCAAAGACAGTAGTATGAATTAATAGTTTTATTTAACATCAAGATCCGATTTCAGTGTCTGAGTTGAATGAAACAGCTGTAAAATGTTTTCCGTAAATAGTTTCCTGTCCTAAAACAGCAGCGTCTGATTATAGATTTGGTCACTGTGGGCCTGTTCTGGAAGATCAAATTAAAATAAACATATCTACAACAGATGCGATTGACTGCAGCATTATGCAAACAGTTTAACCTAATTATTAGGTGCGGTTGGAGGCAGAGGACATAAATGTTGCTGTTTACGTGGCTCAGAAAATCAATTAACAATCTCCCAGCCACCACAGCTTGTTCATCACTCCAAACTAATACATCTACTGGAAAGTGACGCAGGTGTTCTCATAGGTAGGACTGAACAGCTTTATGAATTTCATAAGAATCAGTGGTAGTGAGTCTGGAGAGAGTTTGTTCCACGTGCAATAAGTTGCATTTATTCTTAGAAATGGTCTTCATAAAGAACTGCAATGTGCTTTCTTGCTGAAGCAGTGACTTTGCTTCCTGATGAACTTCTAAACCCAGAACATTGTTTTGTAGAGTAAAGCCATTGTCAGACATTGAATGCAAAACGTTGCTGGCTTCTTCTATTTGTTCAAGTGATGACCTTTTCTAATCCAGACAAACAGTAGATGTCAATAACCCCAGGGCTCATGACCTGGTTTTAAAAAGGGTCTAGTACCCGCTTTACATCAAAGACTACCTGCATTCAATGCGAGTGTGTTTGAGACCAACATTGAGGAGCTTTGATGTCCACATGAAGCAGTTTCTACAGAGTGCTTTACATGAATAGCAGATTTTTTGTGTAAACTTATATTACATCAAGCTGTGGCACCTGCACTAATTTTCATGTTTTCATGCCTATTATGTAATTCTTTGTCTGAGCATTTACATTGAAAAACAGACTAAAACAGTCAACAGTATTAATAAACTGTAGCGGTGTAAAATTACAGGGCAATTCATCCCATGCAAGGGAGGCATGGTTGCTCCGACTAATGATGAGTAAAATTAAATTCTTCATGCAGACTGGCTGTATTGTACCATCTTCTGTGACATTCACAAGACAGTAATAGAATAATACGAATTTCATGGATCATTGTTTCTATACAAGTAAAAGAAGTTCTTTACTCAACCTCTTTAGAGATGAAACACTTTAAATGTTTTTTTAAATGTCTGAACTCAAGGTTGCAGGTCAAAACCGGTCGCTGGACACGGGACCATCCTTTTCAGATGGACCCACGAAAAGAGCGTTACTGTAACATACTGTGACCTTAATGTTGAGATAAAAGGGGGAACACATGTGGTCGGATCCTGTACTGTGGCTCAGTGTGGTGGCACATAATCTATTTGTCAGTAAATATTTCCAATTATACATTCAACTTCCATAAGCGATATGTTGTATTTAAAAGTCGTGGTTGAAGTGGATTGAGATTTTTGTGGGAATATAAACCACTTAATAAACTTTACAGTAGCCCAATTCTTCTTCATGTAAAAGATGGATTTCATGTGGGAATACCAACTACTCAAAACCTTTCTGTTGATCCGGTTTATGGTGGTAAACTGGTGACATTTAAGTCCTGCGTGATATACCAGGAGATACTTATCTACAAGATCTATTTCAGAGCAGGTAGGGAAAAATATACCGATATAAAGAACTGGTTGTAGACAGGAGGACAAAAAGACACATCTGCAAGAGAATAGATATTTGTTTATCTAATCTCACTCATGCAATATTAATATTCAGGTATGAATGTTGAATAACATCAATTCCCCACTGTTTACAAAGAATGGTCAGAACCTGGAGCACAATCTGCTGGCGGGGTTTGCCCGATGCTACAGAAGCAGCTGGGTGTGTTAATGCAGTGTAGTTTTTTGATGTGTCTCTCAGCGCCCCTGGCAGGCCTTTAGCCTCTCACCTCTCGCATGATTCGCTCTTAGCTTCAGAGAAATGCATCAAACAACAGCTGGGATGCCTCTCTGTAGATGGAATATTGATCACAGTCAGAGACGAGCACATATACTCTACAAGTACTTGAGAGGAAAATATGTGGAACGCCCCTGTTTGTATTGAGCCCATAAACAATGGAAAATAATGAGTAAACCACAGCATCATAAGTGGGACTCAGCATTAATAATACACTTACATTTCTTGGACATATTGGACAAAATATGTGTTTCTACACTGTTTGTTTAGAGCACAGGGCCCAGCATCCGGGTTGAGGAAGTCAAATCTTTGGGGTAGCAAGATGATTAGCAAGGTAAGAAATCGTAGTGATTGGATAAAATGATGTTTCAGGCCTTTTTTTTTTAATAACTCAAACTTGTCACAACTGGTACACAAATGCAACCAGTGGCGAGTGGTTGCCACAGTGATTTGCTTCAAGGGATTACAAGCTGAAAAGGTCAGGCACGACTCATTAAGAGCTGCAATGATGGCCACTAAGTGAGCAGGCACAAAAGAGAGAGTGCCATGGTTTGCTTAAACAAGCACCAAAATTGCAGTACGCCACCAGATCTCCTCAACTACAACCTTGTT